ATTATTTTTGCATTAGTATGAAATATGTTTATTACATAATATATTTCATGTCTTTTTATTATTTAATATAAAATGCAGTCAGTGACCTTAAATCATTACCAGAAATTGCTGAGGTCGTTGTAATATTTTTTATTTACTTGATATTTTATTGCAAAAGTATGCATTCCCGCATTTTAAAAAATGTATAATTTTACCTTTTTTTCAATACAAAAGTCAAGTTAACTATTTTCATTTATTGAATAGTAACTATGCCAGTTTAGTTTTAAATATAGATAATTATAAAATCATTTTTTATTGTAAATTTAAATACGATTTTTTTAGTTGCATTTAAGATTAAATAAGAAAATGATTTCTTCAAGATATTGGTTTTATGTCAATATAAATATGTCCGAGATATTACAATTTTTTGATACTTCAACGTGCATGACAGCAGTATTCTGAGTATTCTCCGTTAGAAAAACCTTTTATATTTTTACAAAATAGCACATGTTTTTCCAATTCTAACTTTTATTTACACAGTGTATTCGGTATTTTCTGTTATTAATATTTTAAAGTATTGGTAATTCTTTAATTTTTCGATTTACAGGTCCATATATTTTATATATACAATATTTTATTTTGATATATTAGTTTTCATTTTGATTTAATTTTGAAATTTTTATGTTTAATATGAAATTTTAGCTTTTTCTACTTATTATAAATGTTAATACATTGGATTTCTGGTCACGTCATAAATATCGTATACCATCATTATTATATAATTTAAACAGCATGAGAGATCACGAAATTAGTGTTTATCGTCGGCTTCTTTCGTCAAGTGCATCGGTGAGCATCTACCTTATTAATAATAAAAGAGAAATTTTGCTTAGCTGACCCCCTTACACATATATAATAAACACTTTTATACAGGATTAGACCTAAACTATGAATATAATAATTATATTGATTTATAGTACCAGCAATTGGTCTGTAGGAAATAAAACTCTATTTGTTCTATGTCTCAATATTTCGTCACGATTTTGTGACTTCTTCAGGAGAAAACTGTAAATTTATTATAATAATTATTATATGTAAACAAATTGAACATTTCAATACTTACAACTATAAGAGATGACATTTTTGATTTTAATTTATTTGGGAGTTTTGGTAACCGCAATATTTTATAGGGTGAATTCCTATGTGTATATATACACCGACTGGCACGAAAAACGGAGCACTTGCATTAAAAAAAAAACTTTTATTAAAATAACATTTTATTTCTTTTTAAACTTTTATTATTATAATAACGTAAACAAAAACGAAACAAAGTGTTTTAAGTAATTTCTAATAAAATTTAAGCGCTTATTCGACAAAAAAGCATAAAAAATCAGAAATAAAGATTATACCATTCTTATCACTTTTAAAAGTGTAAAGGGAGTTGTTGGTATTCTATTGTTATTCTTTTGTTCTTTTTGATGTGAGTAAGCTGTTAAGTCGAATCAAGTGTCACGCACTATTTGAAGTTAAATTGCATTAATTTAATCTCCAGAATTATGGTTGCAAGTCCCGAAACAGCGGCTGCTGTTGTTGTTTTGCTTCAAGAAGCTTTTGCTGAAGTAGTGAGCGATGTGTTGCTCAAAAGTATCAAATATTCAATAGTACTGTGCTCCATATATTTACACGCTTCTTGTCGACCAAAGATTACACTAGACTACCTGGAACCGGTCCCAAACGAAGAACTAGTGGCCGTGATGATCGCTTCATCCTCTTAAGTCTACGAGATCGTCGTACCACGGCTGTACAAATTCGAAATCAACTTAGTACGTCTGGAATACTAACGTAAATAAAGGAAAATTAGACTAAGGCTTGAAGAAGCAAATTTAAGCAGTGGCAGATCTGCCTACAACTTCTCAGGAGCCATCCAGTTGCGCGGCTTCAGTTTGCCAGAAACCATGCTCACTTTACTGTAAATAATTGGAGGCACATTTTATTTTCCAATAAGTCCAGGTTCACCTTGCGGTCTTCAGATGGTCGTGCGAGAGTATTGCGAAAGAACACATGAGTGTTTTGCAGAATGTACTTTCAGTCCTAGTGTAGGCTCTCAAAGGGCTCAATTATGGTGTAGGCTGGAATTTGTTTAAAGGTACGTACATAATTGTACATAGTTTCAAGAGCCTTCATAACAGCTGCAGGCACATTGATGAAATTCTTCAAGATTTTGTTGTGCCTTATGTTGGCTTTTTTGTAAATTACTTTGTTCTGATACACGATAATATCAAGCCTCACAGTGCTAGAATCACTTAACAGTTTTTAACTGAAGTAAACATTCCTGTAATGGATTGGCCTGTATTGTGTCAAGATGTAAACCCAATCGAACATATTTGGGACATGCTTGGGCAAAGGATACAAAGTCGTGTTCGTGCCCCTTTAACCTTAAATCAGTTACACGAAGCCCTTTTAGATGAAGGGAAACTTATTCCTCAGTAGGACATTTCTCATTTGATTTTAAGCATGCCAAGGAGAATTCAGGCAATAATTCGAGCACATGGAAGAAACATTTATAATTAAAATCAGTTTGTCTGGACACATGATTTAAATTTTTATTAATTGAGTGTCATTTTGTTATAACATTTACTTACGTTTTTTTCCTTAATTTTTAAATTGTTATCTACTAAAACAGTTCTTTGTTCAAAAGTTAAATTTCTATTAGAAATTACTTAAAACAGTTTGTTTTGTTTGTGTTTACGTTATTATAATAACAAAAGTTAAAAAAAATTAAATTTTAAGATTTTATTTTAAAAATGCAAGTGCTCCGTTTTTTGTGTCGGTGAGTGTATATAATATCATCATCATCATTATTATCATCATCATCATTCTCAGCATATTTTACCGAATATGTTGTAAGCTCAATTACATATTAATTCTTCATATCTGCCCATGATTGACTAAAATTCGCTTTTCTGTGCCATGTTGTACCGGCTTGTTTCCTTATGTCAAAGTCTCATCTTATATTTGGACGTCTTCTTGGGCTCTTGACGCCTCTTGAATACCACAGTATAATTCTACTGGACCAACTATTGTCAGTTCTTCTCGCTAAATGTCCCGCCCCCTGGCAATTTAAAGATTTAGTTATATGGATTACATCAATAACCTTGGTTTTCTGTCCGATCCATTCTATTCTTTTTTGATCTCTCTTTGTTATACCTAGCATGCATCGCTCCATTGACCTTTGAGTGACTTTGAGTTTCTTTCTTTACTGTCGAAGTTTCTCAGCCTTATGTCAGGATTGGTAGTATACACTGATCAAATGCTTTTTTCTTCAGGTGGATTGGCATCTTCGATTTGAATATTAACTGCATTTCTACCAAAAGATGTCCAAGCTACCATCATTATTTTGTTGGTTTCTGGAAGTAAGGAACCAGATTTATGTATTAATTGTCCCATGTATACTTACTCGTCTACTGTCTCAAGTGCAATGTTGTTTATTATTACATTCTTGGACATCTACTGGGCTCGTTGTACATGGTTTTTGTTTTTGTCAAGTTTATTCTTAGGCCAAATTTATTGCTAATTACATTTAGGTCGCTTATAAGTTCTTGTAGTTTTGCAGGATTATTAGTAATCAGAACGATGTCGTTTGCAAATCTTAGATGGCTGAGGTATTCTCCATCAATGGATATTCCTTTGTTTTGTCAGTTCATTTTGCTGTATATATTTTCCAGAGTTGCAGGGAAGAGCTTTGGTGACATTGCGTCACTGCTTCTGCTAGTGCGAAATTCTGTATTGTTTTCATAAATTTTTACCTTGGCTTTTGCTTGTCTATATATATATTTGCTAAAGTTTCTATGTACGGTTTGTTAATGCCTTGGTTGGTCAAAGCTGTTATTACTGCTTTGGGATACCTAGAAAGCCTTCTCAAAATCTATGAAGGTTAAGACTAGTAGTATTTTATATTCTTTAGCTCTAATCATTAGTTCTCCAAGTGTATGAATATGATCTTTGTTGGATTCGAAATTAAGTTATTTAAATTAAAAGGTACTTTATAACTATATTTAATCTAATATAGTATTATATTTAGAAACTCAAACTATATAAGTGTATACTACTACACTAAAAAATTAACCAGAGACGGTAAGGTAACACAGAAACGATAATATGAGCGAAGCGTCTGTTCTCAAAGATTGCCCCACGAATAGTAAGTCCTCTATAATAAAAAGTAAGTTCCTCTAAAAATTTCACAAACTTCCACCAAAAAAAGAAGGGATATCTCCCACTTAAAATGATAGGACAGTATCCATTTCTAAGAAGGTAGAAATTCCAACGACTTGGAACGTTCGACCGTGCGTTCGACGATAATTACCGAATTTATAAAAAAGAACCCGGAAAAGGATTAGCTAAGGATTAAACAAACCGGCGTCTTGTCGGTTCTTCCATATTTTGACGTAGTTGATAGGTTCAATAAAATTTTATAATCGTAAACATGACCATCGGCATCTCAGCCACCGGTGTAAAGGGATTAGAAATAATTTAATATATCTATTAATTATAAAAAAAAATGTAACAATCGGACGATGGATAGCTGGTAACTGATAGCTGATAGATAGTTAATGTAAAACGCAGTTTCGAATTTTGTATACCTAATACTGAAGACTGTTTCCTACTTCCTTGTGTATTGGTTAATTATTTAAGTTTCTAATATTTCTTTACGTTAATTCTTCTTTTACTGCCAGCGATTGTTTTCTTCTAGAGTACTGTTACGTTTATTTTCTCTCGTACTCCATTTTACCATTTTATTTCATACTATTGATTATGCCATATTTTTAATCATTTAACTTTGTGTGATTTTTATTTGTAATGTTATTGTACAGTTTATTTTTTAGTTCTTTACCATACTTTGCCGTTGTAATGAGTCATAAGTATAATATTTGTTCTGAGCAACCTTTCTTTGCTGGTTTATATTGTTAATTTCAAATATTTTTTTTATTTTTATCTTTATTTATATGCAAATAAAACTCAAAAGAAAGTATGAGACATTTTATTAAAAATAATTTATAAATTTTGTCAGACTCCTAAATAAACTTTATTTTTTATTTTTTTTTTATATTTTTTAAAAATTTTTTTCTAATATTAACAACGGCTACAATATTTTAAAGTTTGACGGTAAAAACGATACCAAAAGACACAAGTTTAAATCAACAAAACTATTACCGCAGTCCACATTGATAGTACCAGAGACTTCATTCAAAAGCAGGTCATAACTTCAAACTTTAAACTCTAATACTTGATCTTGGAAATAACTCCTAATTCTCCTCTACATTTGGGTATCATGGAAATACCTTTTCATCTAATTATTAATAATTTTAAGTGTGTCCACTAAAATATAAAATACTTTTAAAAATAATAAAAATGTAGTGTTTAATTGTCATATCTAGACTTTTATCAAAGACTTTTCGTTGACAACAAACCACAAAAAATAATCTTTGTATTTAACGTTTCGACTTAAAAGTGTAAGGACGTTTTTAAATAAATTTTTAGTTTATTACCTTGAAAACAAAACAAAATTATTTTATTATTTCATAATTTAGGCAATGCATTGTATGTTTGAGATGTGATAGGTTGTGATTTGGAAAAGGAGCCATAGAGGACTTAGGTAACGAGAAATAATATAGCCAGTGTGGGAAAATTGATTATTTTAATAACAATGCATAAAAAGATCCATGATAATTTTAATTACAGCGCACAAAAAATTAACAATTAAACTACATCAAGGTTACTCCAGAGGTTTGAACTATAGGCAAAATTGATAAAATATTTATATTTATCTGATGAATAATATTTTAGTCGTTAGCGACCAAAATGACACTTAACCAATAAAAATCATACTAACAAGCTGAATTTTGCCAGGAACGTCAAATTTTGGAACTCAAAAAAGATGCAAAAAAGTTTTCCTTTCCTACCCTTGGACTTCCTCCTAAAACTTCCCCTAGCTTTGGGGAAAACGGAAAACGTCGTTTTACCAAGAATTTGTACGTCATAAATGAAATGTTTTAAATATGAAATGTAGCTGAGAAAATTTTGAACAACAATTTTTATTCTTACTTTTTGTGTAGAATAACAAGTTCTCTCAGAAACAACTCTTAAAGCAATAGGCGATTTTCAATGTCACTTTACACACACGTAAAAATTTGATATCTTTCGATCAGAGTCTCCTATTAACTACAAACGAGATGCGTTTTAAAGGCAAAGAGTGCAGCTTTCGTACGAAATTTTTCCATTTCGTTGCAAATGTAGTCAGTTTCTATGATGCTGTTATATAAATAAACGTTGCGCACTTTTTGACATTTTTTGACATACTATTCTCATGAGATCAATGAAATTATTCACCTTTATTTTACGGTCACTATGAAATTTTTATTACTAGAGCCTAATATTTAAAACCAATAGCATGCAACTTCAATTTTGAGTTTTTGCAACAAATACGAAGCACTTGAAATATGCCCAAGAAACGTTGAATTCAAACTTTCCCATTACAAACGATCTAAATTGTTTAAAACTAATTCTTTTTGATTTCACAAATATGTTTTTTGAATTTACATAATTTTAGATACAAATTTCACTTAACGTTAGTCTTGTTTTTGATTTCAAATCTCTAACTACTGGACTACATGAGACATGATAAAAATAATGAATTGATAACTGTCAAGATACTTATTAAAAAAATCAGAGACATTGTATTATTAGGTAACCTAGGTACTACGAATGTTCAACATGATGGTCAACAAGATGTACAATGAAAAATATTAAAGAATTTCGTAAAAATGTTGATGAAAGACTATTGGTATTAATTTGACACAGTCATCAAGAGTATTTTCCAATGTCAGAGCAAATAATAATATGACAAATGTGTTTAAAAATGTCTAAGAAATAGTCTGTAAAATGTTATACCAGAAAGCACAAGGAAGAACAACTCTATTGAAAACATTGCTGACCAATAAAGTACCATAATAATAAAAATTAAAAATGTATCAGAAACCCATTAAAAATATATACAAGTATACTCTTCTTCTTCATTCTTTTATATAGGCTCCTAAGGCCTTTTACTAATTTGATATTGCTTACTTTCTTGGGAATATATTATATTACTTTGGGTACAATAAAAGCAACCAAAAATATTACTCCTTGAAAAAGAATTACCTCTACCTGATTTATCTGATTTGCAACATCAGCTGAACTAGTTAGTACACATTGTAATGGACACAATTGTATTGATTGTCGACGTTTTAAAAGAAGGCGATATGATACCTCAAGAAAGAGAAGGTAGCGGTAACGTTCTTTTCACAAAACGACAAATTGAGAAACAAAAACATTGAAATTATATTATCGTTAGAGCATATTTTGGACATCATCAAAACATCCACGTCAAAAACTTGTTACTAATTATGTTACTCGTTATTGCAACAATATAACCAAGTACTTTGGTTTCATTTTGGGTGATTCAGGTTACGAATATAGAGTTGTTAAGAAGAGTTAAAGGCGTTACTAAAAAAATAGGTTAAAGAATAAAGATATGTGACGAACTGAAAATAAAATTCACATTGGAGTTAGAGAGAGAGCTGAGTTGGTGGGGTCATTTACATCGAATGAAGGATATTGTACCAGTGGGAATAGTGTGGAAAGAAAAAATATTGAAATACACAAAAGGAGAAGACAAAGGCAGACATGGGATAAAGTAATGGACAAGATATTGGAGAGAAGAGGACTGACATGGACAAACGCAAGAAGGTTGACACGAAACTCCAAAGAATGGAAGAAATTTATTCAGACGTAAATTAAACCTTACACCATTATATGGTAGAAATATTTTTGAAAGTAAAATGTAATGGCAATTCTCGCAAAACAGAAAACTACAAATGGTATATCGATAAAAGGCAACCGTGTATACGTATTTCTGACTATTGGTAGTCTTCAGTACGATGCAGACAAGTTAGAAAATGAGCATGTTAACTTGGGAAAGGATCTTCTTAACAAAATTTCTTAAAGACCTTACATACAAAACATGAAATCACTTACACATTTTTATCAAAAAACGTTTGAATTTTGTTTTCATAAAAAAATTGTATAATACTTAAGTACTTACAGAATGCTAGATGTAATATCATATCCGTTTGAAGAATGAATCTTATCTCCTTATGATTTTTTCACGTTTCCATTTTCATCTGATACATCGGTCACATCATTACAAACAAAAACATCCCTACCGTACTCATCTTTAATAAGTTTGCATTGTAAAGTTCTTAAAACTTTTCCTGATGGTTCAGATAGTTTTTGGATTTTGCAAACAAACAAATCTTTGTCGTCTATAAGATCAAATACTCTGGGTTTAAGTGAACTTATAGAAAACGTTTTGGGTTTTGTTTTTTTGGAATTTTCAGTTTCTTTAAAAAGAGGCAAAGAGCTGGTTTCATTTTCTTTACATCGTTCATATTCAAATATAGGATGATCGTTTATTTGTTGTTTGTTTGTCGTGTGACTACTAGCGTTAATAGTTATTGAAGGTGTAGACTTGGATCTTTGGGGTTTTAAAGGTAATGGGGTTTTTACTTCATTAGTCATCTTATCCGTCTGATTTTTTAGGATTTCTTTGCTTGGTGGATTAAATTTACTTGTACATGGAAAGGTGCTTTCAGTTTTAACTATTTTGGAATCTTTTGATGAATTAATTTGATCTACAGCTTTAAATGGCTGGAAAATATCAAGAGTTAATTTTTGATATTTGTTATATACATTATCTGCTTCTTTATCTGTATGTTTCGTAAGTTCAGATGCACTTGTTGATTCTCTACCAGTACTTTTTGAAGTATTTGCTACATGGTAAGCAGTACTAGGCCTAGCATTAGATTTTTTTGGTTGGGATATTTGGTCTAACGGTAACATCTCCCTAGTTTTATGGACCTCGTTTGTTAAATCCAAAATTGTGGATGGGTTGGATAGATCTATCGAATTATTTTTATTGTTTTGTGTAGTTATCTTCGTTGATTCAGCTAAAATATCAATTACGTTAATTAGTTATTGATTAAATCATGAATGTGTTGCTTGTGTGAGTCCATTTCAAATAGGTAAAGAAATTTCTTTACCTATTAGTATATTAGAATATTTCTTTACCTATTAATTATTGATTAATATAGCTTTATGTTTCCAAAATTATAGAAAGTTTGGATTATTTAAGACTTTCGTATACCCTTGTTACGTTTCTTATTAGACAATTAGCCTTCCCATCCAATGAAAATAACAATAAAATAATGTATTGGTGTGATCTATTAGGCAGTGAAAAGCATCCGATGATAAAAAGTTGAAAGATTCGTGAAAAGTGGCATCCGTATAAGTTTGAAATAAAACAAAATCAGGAAAACTACAAAATTTACTGGAATACAAAGAATTTGAAAACACTAAGATAGATCAGAGGAGTGCGATAAGTTATCTTATTGCACTTTTAATAGCTACAGTCAGCTCTACTTTTTAATTTAATCCCTGAAAATGACTTCACGATAGTATACCTGAGATATCATGAAATGATTTTTAAACACTATGAATATATTTATCAAATTTTACTAAAAATTAAGAAATTTGTTTGAAATAATCCGCTATTCTTACTAAAAAGGCATAAATATGTATGAATTTTAAAGCATAACACTCCACATAAAAGTGGAGAATATGAATTTACTATTCAACAGAATAAGAACATTTATTTTTTCGGTGGCTGCAAAATACAACCATGATTATTGCGTCTATTTACGTAATGCCGGGATCTAACAGAACGTGGAGCGGTATTCTTCATCGGCGAAGAGAAATAGAAAATACATTGTAGAAAAAGACAAAATCTAAAGATGGAAACCAACGTAACGTGGAATACCGTTTTCCTCTTAATATTAATGGTTTACGATTTCTGTTACAGGAAAAAACTGTCTGTTTATGCTGGGCGAGGTTGTCCTGTCGTTTGTCAGTAAATCAACAAGGTTTAAAGGAAGGTTAAAGGCTGATGCATAGTATGTACTTACCCCTACTGCCCTTCCGATGCAGCTAGGGTCTGGTACGGTAAGTGTATTGCTAATTGCAACACTGGTAGCGTAAAACAGATAAAACTTAACTTAACCCTCGATGTCGAGAGGACACGCTCCATTGAGGTAGGTATCAAAAAGTAAATATTAAATAATTTCACAGTAACATGGCATGCCAACGATGCAACGGTGCAGATCTCCACGGTCCATGAGATCCCGGCTCAGTTGCGTCAGTAGAAAAGATAAAGGGGTGCTTTAAATAAGAAAAATGGCAAACTATAATTTCTCAACAAAAAATATATTAGAGCCTATAGTAAACACATAGCTGTGTTAAAGCTATTAAACTAAAGAGTGGCTGAATATCTGTTATTTACTTGTTTAGTAGGTATGGTTGTTCATAACTCTTGGTAGTTATAGAGAAATGATAACTCTAAACCGCTCATCTACAATTTCGAAGATTGTATCTCCTTAAGAAATTATGGAACATCTTCGAGCCATCCGGGTAAATAAGTTTTTCAAAGATGTTAAAGATGAAAATAATTACAGTTTATACACTAGAGGTAACGAACTGAAATAATTTGTTGAATGTATACAATGCAATAATTGTCCTTACCATTAGGTGATTTGAGAAGTTGGTATCTGTTTAAATTGGTAGAAGGTGGTGATGCTGTTTTATCAGGACGACGTTTAACACTAGACGAACCTGGAATATTGGATTTCCCAGAACATACAGGGGCAGCTGGCGCTCCAGGGTTGTTACCTGATTTAAATCCTAAAAATAATACATAATTTTGTTACTTTAAATACATTATGCAAAAAATTGTACATTAATAAAAAATAATTAACTCTTTATTTGGCATATATTTACAAATGCCATTTTGAAAGTAGATATAAACCAAATTTAAACGATCTATTTGGACATAAACGAACAGATCAAGAATAGACAAGGACAGAAACCTAGTATACTTATAAAATAAATTGCTTTAGCTATCAAATACTATACAAAGCACCAACAAACAACAACAGACGAACTGTTTAAATATATAGTTTGTGACAGCATTTGTAACATATCGATAAAACATATTTCGTTCTCAATACTGATCTGAATATTTTTATTTATTGACTAACGTATTTCTTATTTAATAGTGCAAAGTATACCTCTGTACTATAATCGCATTCTTTATATTTACTAACTCGTAAAAAAGAGTCGAGATTTTTGTTAACTATCTTTTTTATCATAAAGCAATAAACTTGCAGTTTTTTTTTGTATATTGTTTGAATCGCTAGTAAAGTTAATTTAGATCGAGATTCATAAAAAAACTGGTAATATTGGGGGATCGAATCAATTGCCATCTACAGTCGCTCCACTAAATTTTTGTCAATTTCAGCTGGTAGTTTAGATTTCTGTCCTAGGTGGCATTCCAGAAAAACTGCATTTCCACTTGACGTATCTTCCTAGCCTTTTACTAGATTAGATAATATATGATTAGAATTTTAAGTTTATATTGGTTTTAAGCATAGCGTTGGTTGATATAAAAAAAACCAACGAATAGACTCTTCATGTATACACCTGCATCTTCTTTTATTTAATTGATACCCAAAGGGCTAATGGTTTAAATGAAGTAGTGCAGAACTATTTAGAGCGGCAGCCAACAGGGTCCGCATAGCCATGATTATTTCCAACCTTCGATAAAAGATGGAACTTACAGAAGAACAAAGGGCTAACTTATGTGTAAGTAATCTAGGTTAAAATTCATTTTATGGTTATGAAGAAACAATTCGAACCATACCTGTATTTGTTTATCGTTCTAATTTTACTAAAAGGTTTTAATAGGCTATTATAAAAATTTTATAAAAGTTTTATTACTTTTGAATTTCAACCTATAAAAAACCATAAAAAAGGATTGTAATTTTTCCCCTTAGCAGCGGTAAAAAATTACTCTATAGTACCCTGTTAGGGTATTATTAGGGTATGTAAATTAGAATTAAGTCAACATTTATTCTCCGAACAGAATAATCCTTCTGTTTAGTTTGAGAGTAAGTCAATTGTTCACCCACTGGCCACTGGGAGCAGCACATCATTGTCATCCTACACTAAACTGCCAATGTGTTTAGAATGAGAGTACTGTAAGTCAGATGATGAATTTGTTTACATGCAAGGTTATGTTGCTAGTGATCAGTGAGTGTTATTTTGTGTTATATGTATTATTACATATTATTGGTGGTGTATAAACAAACATATTTGATATTCTGTCACAGTAATTTGTTGTTAAATTGAAGAAAATCTTGTTTTATAACTGAAATGTGAGAAAAGTATCCTTGTTGACATTTTGAGGTTAGGCCTGTGTTTAGAACTAACTTTTACAACAATACCGTTATTTTAAGTGAAAATGCATTTTTATAAAACAAAAGAAATTTAAATAACCTAAAACATGAGTAGGCCTATACTGAAAATCTACAGGTTACATTTCCAAGTGAATCAGACTCTATTGAATCAACCGATGATGTTGATAGGGATCCAGGTTACAATGAAGATAAAAGGCTTACTCCTTTTGAACAAAGACTCATCCTTGTAGGAAAAAGAAACCGATTAATTTTTACCTTTCTACATCCGAATCAGTTAATCAGTCAGATGAAAACAATGAGTTTATCGGTCCCCAAGCAAAAGTAAAAACTAGAAAAAACTCAGGAAGACAGAATGCCATTAGAAAAGCATTGCTAATAAACGGAGAAGTTCTGGTAAGAGGTATGTGAATGTAAATGGTCAAGTAATGCCAAATAAAACATTTTCAGACATCTCTTGTCATTGTAAAATGGCGTGTCATGAGAAGGTAACAACCGGAGAACGACAATCCATGTTTAAGTCTTTCTGGGAACTAGGGGATTTTAAGCGGCAAAATACTTACTTACTTCGCAAAATACTAAATATTTGCGAACTGATTTAAAGGAATCAAATCAAGCAGAGGCCCCGTAAAGAGCGTGATATTTTAAGGGGCGAGGCAAACAAATACTACTTAAAAAAAAATCAAGGTTTATCAGTTACAGTGAGCAAACAGTATTTTCTCACTACTTTTTGCGTGTCAGATGGTTGTGTTACACGAGCTTTACGAAAACTATGTGAAGGTAAATTACCTGGTGAAGACCTCAGAGGTATAAAAGGATGTCCAGCAAGGAAAATGCCTAAGGATGATATAGAATATGTCTACAAACACATCAAGTCATTTCCCTCTTATAAGAGTCACTATACCAGGAAGAAAAATGAACACCAAAGGTACCTTAGCGATAATTTAAATATTAGAAAAATGTATTCATTGTACGAGAAAAAGTGTAAGGAAGAGCAGAAATCACCGGTTAAGAAGCATTTTTATCGATATGTTTTTCAGTTTTAACCTTCACTTCTACATTCAAAAAAAAAAAAAAACACTTGCAAAAAATGTGACATATTCAAAATAACAATAAGCAATCCTAAATTGAGTAGGAATGAATTATCTCAACTTAACACTGACCATGAACTCCATTTACAGAAAGCTGAGCTAGCAAGGAAATGTATGACTACTGATGCGGAAAACGCGAAAAGAAACCAGGAGAGTTATGTATGTCAAAAAGAGGTTAATCTTTGTAAATGGGTATATTTATTTAAAAAACCCTTAAAAGGGCCACATCAATAAAACAAACGTTTTCGGACCACACAGTCCATCATCAGGTTATTAAAATCGAAAATGCTAGGTCACAATGCCTGAGCCACCAAAATATTAGGGTAAAAACCCTTTAAATTACATTTAGTTATGAAATGTTGTACATTGTGTTATAAAATAACTGTGATGTTCAGTATTAAATTAAATTTGACTATAGGTAACACATGGCTCAATTGGGTTCCAGAGCCGGTGAGAGGGAACCTCTGCACTCGGAGAACAACGTGGAACTGTTGTTCTCCGAGTGCAGAGGTTCCCTCTCACCGGCTCTGGAACCCAATTGAGCCATGTGTTACCTATAGTCAAATTTAATTTAATACTGAACATCACAGTTATTTTATAACACAATGTACAACATTTCATAACTAAATGTAATTTAAAGGGTTTTTACCCTAATATTTTGGTGGCTCAGGCATTGTGACCTAGCATTTTCGATTTTAATAACCTGATGATGGACTTTGTGGTCCGAAAACGTTTGTTTTATTGATGTGGCCCTTTTAAGGGTTTTTTTAAATAAATATACCCATTTACAAAGATTAACCTCTTTTTGTTATACGTGGTATACAGCCAGCTACAGGAATTTTTCCTTGTGGATTTAGTTATGTATGTAGTGTTGACCTACAGAAAGCTTCGAAATTTTCAGGGTTATCTGTTTCAGATACTTATTATAAGCGAAATAAGTACTGCTATAGCTTTGAAGTGTATGACTTCGACACAGAAGCTGGCGTATTTTATTTCTGGGATAAAACTCTCGCTTCCAAAGGCTCTCAAGAAATTTCATCCTGTATTATAAAGCATCTTAAACTAAATGCTCCAAACAAGAAATATGTTATAAGCGAGCAGAAGAAACAGTATGTGATTGACCTCCTACTACACGTCATTCCTCCAGTCCATCATGGATTTTTCAAAACATAGCAACTACTGCAAATAATGAAGAAGATGAGGAGATTGGCCCACTTTCGTATGTTGAATCTTAAAGCGATGAGGAAGATGAAACTGTGGAATAAAGAATTGATCACTTTTCAAGTAAAGATATTTTAGAAATACTTAATCTGTTGACAAAGTGTAAGAGTAAATTTTTTAAATTGTTTCTGTAACATGTATTAACTTGTAGAAGTCAGTTTTTAAGCAATAAAGTTTAATCTTAATCTATATTAATAAAAAAAGTAACAAGTATAAGAGGTCTAACAAACACTTAAAAATCTCAAATTAATTAAACACTGACTTACACCACTCTGCTCATGTATGTCTCATTCTGCAACTCTATAGTCCCCAGTTGGAACGTCCACATTTCGCGCTCTACGGAAATTATATGTACTTATTTCGCACTCTGAAAAGAACATGCTTATTTACAATCTCCATTCAGAAGTCTAACAATACTCTAACATCTCCATTTGGAATGGTTATCCCGCGCTACGTCAAACTATTTCGCTTTATACTGTGTGGGTATAAGGTGTGTTTTAGTAGATTAGCTCATTATCTTAAAGATAATACTTCGGATAAAAGAACAATGTGTTTAGGTTAGGCCTACCTGGCTTAAAAAAAGAAGACATATTTATTTTGCCCCAAAAAAATCGACATTATACTCGATGGATACAATACAGTCTCATTAGAAACAAATATTGGAACTAAACAGTGTGTGCTAGAACATAGAATGATACAATCCACAAGAATCAGTTAATTTCCTATAGTAGGCTGTATACCATATATCACAAAATTTTTATTAAAAAATTATATATAAAAGCTATATTTATTTAATCCTTACAGTCTACAGAATGTTTTTGTATTGATTAGTCCATCTTTAGTGCTGCTAACAAATATACATGTTGCTAGCCACCAAATACAGTTACTGTCAAGTTCATTTAGGGACTACATCTCAGAACCAACAATCATCGTTGAGAGTATGTCGCCACAAACTTAAAATTTTAACAGCTTACCTAATTTACCTAATTTACTTTAATTATCACCAACAATTAAATCGTTACATTAAAATATTACCAATTAAATAACATTTAAAAGGTGTTCACCCACATATTTTATGGCTATAAACATGTATACCCGTAGCAGCACTGAAGATCGACCAAAAACATTCTGTGATGTAGCTCGCAAGGGGTTTTTTTTTTAATCAATATACCTTTTATTAACGGTATTTTCGAACTATTTTATGAAGATATATCAAAGGCTATGGAAGAACATAAAAATCATCTTACACTAGTAATTGGAGATTTCAATGCCAAACTGGGTAAAAAACTAAACAAAGAAGAAACTAAAATAGGAGATTTCGGGTATGGCCAGAGAAATGATAGAGGTGATACTTTGATGAACTACCTAGAAGAAAAGCATCTATACGCAATGAACTCCTTTTACAAAAAGAAGCCCCAACGAAAGTGGACATGGATCAGCCCTAATGGATCCACAAAAAATGAGATCGACTACATACTGTCCACGGAACGATATATCATTAAAGATGTAACAATTCTTAACAGATTCACAACAGGTAGCGATCACAGGATGGTCAGAGCAAAAATTAGTATTGACGGTAACTATGAGATGAAAAGAAAAATAAGTAGAAACTGGAATCTAGTAGATAGAAACAAACTAGGTCAATATAAAGAGATATACAAAGACCTATTAAAAGAACAACTTACCCAAAGATTAGACAGTGACGATAAAGATATAGACGAAATAGACAACATACTTACAGCAACAATGATTACATCAGGAAAAGAAATAGCAAAGAAGGATCTAAAAAAGAACAACTATATATCAACAGAAACAAAGATGCTTATGGATAAAAGAAGGAAGCTGAACGAAGAAGGCAAAAGGAAATCTATAGAATATGTAGAAATTAATAAAACAATAAGCAGAATGATAAAAGAAAGTAAGAGAAAAGAACAAGAAATAAAAATAGAAGAAGTAATACAAAACAACAAAAATATGAAATGCTTAAGGCCGAAATTAGGTAAGTTTGAAATTAACAAAATAAAAGATGTAAATGGAATAGAAACAAACGTCAAAGATGACATCATAAATATAATCCACCATTTCTACTCAGAATTATATAAAACAAAAAAGGAACCACCAGAAGAAATTAAAAACCAACTTAAGGTCAAAATAAAAAATGTCAACTCAGAGCTGCAGCCCGAAATAAGCAAATCAGAAATAAAGAAGGCATCGAAAGAAATGAAAAACAACAAATCGCCTGGAAAAGATGGAGTAACTACAGAGATGCTGAAATATGGTGGAAAAGTGGTAATTAATACTCTACATTCCCTTTTTAACAGGATATTAAAAGAAAAAAGAATCCCAAACAACTGGAAGGAATCAGTAACCATTATCCTACACAAGAAAGGGGATAAAGCAGATATAAAAAACTACCGTCCTATAACACTCCTCAATGTAATGTATAAACTCCTAACAAAAATTTTAACCAATAGATTGACGACAAAATTCGATGGATACCAGTCGAAAGAACAAGCTGGTTTTAGAAAGGGATTCAGCACAAGTGACCATTCACTAAGTATGAAAATACTTATAGAACGAGCAAATGAATACCACATTTCTCTATATATGGCGTTCATAGATTTCGAAAAGGCTTTCGACAGTGTCGAACATTGGGCAGTGAAAAGTTCTTTGATTAACAGCCGAATTTACCACAGATATACGGAACTAATAACCAATATATATAAGGAAGCCAAAACAAAAATTAAAGTATATGAAGGAACAAAATCATTACAAATAAGTAGAGGCGTGAGACAGGGTGATACAATATCACCGAAACTTTTCAATCAGGCTCTTGAAGATACTTTTAAAAGATGAGAATGGGAAAAAAAAGGTATAAAAATTTGTGGACAACGCTTGAACCATCTAAGATACGCTGATGACATCGTATTGATAACCGATAAAAAAGATGAATTATTTGAAATGATGAAAGAACTGGACGTAGGAGCTGGAAAGATAGGCCTTAATATGAATTACAGCAAGACCAAAACTATAACAAATACAGATGAAGACATCACAATGAGAATCGGACAAGATGAAATAGAACAAGTTAAGGATTATATATATCTTGGTCAAACTATAAAACTTAACAAAGAGAACCAAACAGCAGAGATCAAGAGACGAGTTAGACTGGCATGGGCGGCATTTGGCAAACTAAGCTACATTCTTAAAAACAAAAGATATCCACAGCATCTTAAGACCAAAGTATATAATCAATGCGTACTCCCTGTTCTTACGTATGGCTCCCAAACGTGGACATTTACAAAAGCAAACATGGACAAAATCATAAAAACCCAAAGAGCAATGGAAAGACAAATGTTGCACATAAGACTAATGGATAAGAAGAGAAACGAGTGGATAAGAGAGAAAACAAAAGTGAGGGATGTTAGACAAGAAGTTGCAAAATTGAAATGGAGATTTGCCGGACACAATATAAGACAAAAAGAAGACCGATGGAACAAAATTCTTATAAGTTGGAGACCGTGGGAATATAAACGAAGCAGAGGAAGGCCCCAAATGAGATGGGCAGATGATATCAAGAAGCATGAGGGCTCTAGATGGATGACTGTTGCGACAGACAGAGAAGAATGGAAAAGGATTGGGGAGGCCTATGTCCAAAGATGGACCGAAGAAGGCTAATTAGATAGATAGATAGATTTTCAATTGTATAAATATGTGGAACACATAAGGGGAAGTGTTCATCAGGAATATATTTTGTCTGTTCTACTATTTAATCTATATGCCAAACAATATTAGCAGATGGTGCTTAATACCAAGCAGGCTATGTATTATCAATAATATTCTTACCAACAGACAAGAGCAATGCAAACGTTGTTATTGACAAAGAACAATATCTGGAGAAAATTAAAGAATTAGTCTCAAACTGACTCTTCATAATACTTCAGAAGGAAACAATCAAATCCTTAGAAAAAAATATATTATAGAACCCTATCCAAGTTTAAAGAATATTTGACAAAATACCCAGAAAAACCTTAACACTCCATTACCTACCGCAATCCCAATTTAAAGAAGTATGGATTCTCCTTGCAGCATATTGTATAAAGTTTTTATTGGATATAATACAACCAATGGCACCCAAATATATGTCTGTAAAAATACATAATATTTTTTTCAAAAACTATCAGAAATAGATTCCCAATTGGGAATAAATCCCAATAATATTTTGGTTAGTTTTACCATAACCAGCTTATTTACAAATATAATGTAGAAAAAGATTTAAAACTAATAAAAAACAATATAAAAGGATAATACATATACCAGATACAAACCAAAAATACCAGAACAAAACTAAATGTAACAACTAGAATGAAGCTATTATTATATAATCATTATGTACTGACAACATTGAATTTTAAATCTAACGACGATTAGGCCAAATAAGTCTGTCAAAATTTCTTTCATCCCTTATTAAAAAAAACATTTATAATTTAAGTATATTATTTATTAAAAATCCTAATTTTTTGTAAAGGATTTCCTCATTTGAAATCAAGACGTCAAAACTATACAAAAATATAATATTTATTACATTTTCCTTGTTGTTTATTCTCATGTATAAAATTTTTAGTATCTCACAAAAACGTCCTTTTATGATTGTGTAGAGTCTACTAGAATAAATTGAATTATCATGAACAATAAAAGGCATGAAGGTGATACTCTGATATAAGCTGGACCGAGTGACCGGTTAAGTTTACATACTATTAATATAAATCATAACATGAACATGGAAATCAATGATTCCATATTAAAACGATGGCTTTGAATAAAACTCATTAAGAACAAATTACAGTCCACCTAATTACAAATGGCATCACCTTTCAGATTATATAGGAGAGAGACGCAGTGGCCAATTAAACCACTCTATATAACTCATATATAACTCAAGTTATATATTTATTTAGGTATATACCTAATTTATTAACAGAAAACTATACAGTTTGAGAACGAAATACGAAATTTAAAACTGGGCAAAACATGTAATATAGAGAAAATTGAATCGCTGCAGATTAACCAATACAAATATTATCGACACATTAATTAAAATAGTTAACTAGTTTAGTAGAAATTGTATTTATGATATGATGCTTATGACACAATACAAAAAACTTAATCTAACTTGTTTCTACATAGGAACTGTGTATCTGTTCGCTGTGAATCTACTTATAGCGCTTATAGGAAAACAAGAGGTATGGAACCTGAAATTAAATTGTTAAAATATAGTGACACAATATATACGAAATCCTCCATAATATAGCTATAAAGTAATATCACCGATTTTGTAAAACTATATACTGAAATTTGATCAAGGAATTTAAGTTTGGTACCTACTTTGTACCAAAAAATCATTTTGGCTTTGAGCGTATTCACCAAGTGAATATTAGAAATAGATAGTAACAAAAAAATATCAAAATTATACACATACTTAACAACTGCATAAAAAAAATAACTTGAGGTGAACCAAAATGTATGTGAATTAATTTTTGTGTAAAAAATCAACCAAAAACTTGAAAATTAATGCCTAAACTACATTTATATAAACATGCATCTAGATATATATATATATATATATATATATATATATATATATATATATATATATATATATATATATATATATATATATGAGTTTGGAGATTATATAAATTCTACATATTTTCACTTACCACCTTTCGATTTAAGAAGAAACTCCTTGACCAATTGATCACATTTTTCTGATTGTTTTGGTGTTGCACATTTCTCTTTAGATTGCGAACAATCCTTTTTTGAATCTTTTTTCTTTTGGCTTGTTTTCCGCTTAGATGTAAAATCACCTACTGTATAAACAATTTGATTATTTTTAAACGAAAGTTTAAGTGTATACGTATTTATAGCTTTACATTGTCAATTGGTTGGAAATATCTTTTAAACAAAATATTTTGAGAAAATTGTCAGTATTAATAAATTGTCCAGTGTATGACGGTAAATATACTAGAAAACCATTGAATTTTGCTATATGCATCGATTTGGTTAACATTTTGACAGACAGATACAAAAATCCATATTTCTCATAAAAGTGATATAAAGACAAACAAATCACAAGCTTGTGCATTAGCCGACCACTCGCTCAATCAGAATTACACATTTAATTTTTCACAAGCTTAAATTCTAGAGAGGCAGAAAAATGAACAGAAGCGGTTATTTTTAGAAATGACACATATTATACAGAAAAATAAAAAATGTATAAATAGAAAATCAGATATTGACAAATTAAGTAACATTTATTGTTATATTTTATATCAATAATTGGTATACCATCATAATCTCCTTTTCTATCGACTTCCCAACATTAAAAAATTCATATATGCTTAAGTCAAACTGACTGGACTAATTTAATTTATTTTTTATATTTGTTATCGACAATCAAATACTATAAACTATAATAATAATAATAATAAAAACTATTGTTACTGGTTTTGCTTTCCATGTAAAATAGCTGTATATTCATTCAATTATGTACAATAATCAAACCAACATGACAATGACATATAATGACAATATAACTATTTTAACAAAAAATTTTTTATGAAAAAAAATTTGAATATATGTGTAATGTGTTTAATAAAGTACAACAAAAACTGTAATCTCTCGACTACTAAGTAAGGAAATTAACAATTATAACTAGATAATTTTTATATTTATTTTTAACAGATAATAATAATATTTTTAACAGAAATAAATTCGAAAGCTTGCCAGAAAGTCAAAGAGTTTTCTTCACCACTTATCAATATATCACCACTTAATATATATATATATCTATATATATAATTTTACAAAACAAATAAATGTTAACAACAATTTTAATTTTAAACAATTCAATTTCATTTTAAACAAGATCATCTAGGCTTTCCGCTCTTTGGAGCATGTAATCTATAAATTGTGTATTGTTAATAGCCTACCAGTTACTTTTATGAAAAAAGTTAATTTTTCCAATGCTTTCTGCATTAATTCTTCTGAATATGTACAATACATTACATAAGATATGGGACGGTAACACGGCCTAGCTCTAACTAAAAACTAAATATACACAGGTCAAAGTTGGGACGCGGAAGAATACCTAAAACTAGACACTAATGAAACTTTAAAACTATATCAAATTAAATCTAGGTTGAATATATGAGAACACCGGTAGGAGATTTTTAAAACAGATAAATATTTTTCAAACAGAATATAATGTTAGTGTACATTATTCAGAAGTTAAAACAAAGTATACTACAAAAAAATATTATTTACATTTTACGTAATATTTCTACTTACAATGTTTTGATTTACTAAGAAACTCTTTGACCAATTGCTCACATTTATCTGCTTTTTGAGATTCTGTTTTAGGTCGTGAACAATCCTTCTTGGAATCCATTTTTTCTTCTCCCTTTTTCCCTGTGGGCGAATAAACATGTGATAAATACATACAATTTTAATATATCTAAATGATATAGGGTATATACACTCACGGACAAAAAAATCGAATATTTTGGAATTTTCCAATTTTTTTTTGTAGTCACTATTATTTCAAAATAATTTTAGATTACTGATGATACTCATATAGTAGGCTGATGTACAACTGGTTTGAAATATTTGGACGTTTAATCAGAGTTTAGTGTCTACATTTTATCATAAAAAACCTTTATCACGTAAAGAAAGAATCATACGATTTTGGCTATTTTTCATTTAATTTATTAAGTTTGATTCAATATTGTTTTAATTTAACTAAGTTTAAAACAAGTATGCCACCAATTCGATACTGCGATGAAGCCCAAGGAGCACAGATTGTAATTATGTAAAAGGAAGGATATGCACAAAAAGATATCGCACGACGTCTCAGAAGAAGCATTGATTATAAACCACCCATAATCAATCGTGGTGATTTATAATCAATGATAGAAGTCAATCTACAGTTTTGAATACTTTATAAAGGTACCGCGAAATAGGAAATTTTGTACGAAGGCCTGTTTAAGGACGTCCAAGGTGCACAACAACAATTGATTACCGTTTTTTAGTTCTTAATTCTACACGATATCATTCATTGACACCGATGCACCTCAGAAATAAGCTATTAAATGTTAGACAAGTTAATGTTAGTTCAAAAACAGTAAGGCAAAGATTAAAGAAAGCAAACTTAAAGCCCAGACGCCCCGCCAAAGTTCCACGACTTCTCCAGAATCATAAAGCTTGTCGTTTAGAATTTATTTAGAATTTGCAAGACATATATTTAGTAAAATATCGACACCTGGAAAAATTTTCTTCTCACTGATGAGACCAGAATCCTAGAATCCTAGATGGTCTACAAAAGAGTTGGAGAACGATTCGTTAGGTGGTGGCATAATTCTTTGGGAAGGTATAGGTTGGGAGGGATGCACCGCACTCGTGGAAGTGATTGGATGGATGACTTACTTTTAAAAGATCCTACAAGATCATGTTTTGCCATATGTTCGTTACATTGGATATGGAAGATTCATGTTAATGCACGATAATGCTCGACCACATGCCGCTGCCATAGTGCGTAATTATCTTAATGAAGAAGATTGGATTGTTTACCGTTTAGCCTGGATTTAAATCCAATAGAGTACATGTGGGATCACTTAAAACGCCGCATACGACAAATAAATCTCGTTTCAAATACGATAGAGCAGCTTCGGCTTGCTGCACAGGATAAATGGAATGCAATTTTTCAAGATTATGTCCAAAATTTACTTGCAAGCATGCCAAGAATGCAAGCAGTAATAAGAGCTATAAAGGAAGAAAACTCGTTACTGATCATGTAATTCTTTCACTTAAATAGACTTATTTAGCTAGTTTTAATTAGCATTTAAGTTTAGAGTAAAATAACGTTATTTCCCTAATATTAAGCATTTATCCTTTTCGCAATTTTTTACGCATAAAAACTTAAAATTGTTTATTAAACATTGTTAAGATAAAGCCTATTTTACAATAAATGACTTGATTCTTCTTCTTATGGTGCCATATCCAATTAGTGGATGTTAGCGACAATTCTGGCATACTGCTCTCGATCTTGTGTAGCTCTAAAGAAAGCATGGGCATCAAGTTTTGTCAAATCTCTTATGTTTTTAAGCCATGAGTATTTCTTTCTTCCGATGCCCCGTTTTCTTTCTATCTTCCCTTCCATAATAAGCTTTAACCCGTTAGTCTTCTAACTACCCACATTTCAAAGGCCCCCAGTCGGTTTATCATATTGGACTTTATGGTCCAGGTTTCTATACCATATAGAAGTATGGAGTAAATGTAACATTTAACAGAGCGATATCAAAGCGGTAAATTAAGGCTGTTGTTGCTTAGCAAGGTTCTCATATTAGTAAATGACTTGATTGACTACAATTTATTTTGAAAAAACAAAAATTAGAAAATTTTAAAACATTCGATATTTATGCTCATGAGTGTATTTTAGTTTGTGTTTATTTGTCTACATTTTTTTTAATATTCATATCAAACATACCGCAAAGATGAGAATTGTCATTTTTTGGAGTAAAATACCTCATCCCCTATGCGAAACGAGCCGCCGACAACTTACTAGCTTTAACTTTGCCAATACGTTACCATGGAGAACTTATCTTTTAAACACTTATTGCTAATTTTATTGATCAAATTAATGATATCTTTGAGATCTTTTTTAATACTGAAAAATGATCTATGAGAGAAAGGGTACAAAAATATGAAAAATATTTTTTAAGCTATATTATACTTACCACCTTTTAACTTAAGAAGAAATTCTTTGACTAACCGATCACATTTTTCTGATTGTTTTGGTGTTGCACATTTCGTTTTAGACTTTGAGCAATCTTTTTTTGAATCCGTTTTCTTACCGGCTTTTTTAGACTTAGGGACATAATCACCTATATAAAATTTTAATGTTTACATGAAATAGTCAGTGTCTTATACAGAGTGGCCAGAGTGATTGTACAAAGTTTGAGGTACGAAGATTTAATATTTGGTATTTGCAATGTTGCCAGATTTACCGTTTCTCTTATATGATTAGTAACTTTGGATTTTCAAATTCACCACCCTGTATATTCAGTCATTATTGGAATCTCCTATTCAATACGAGTTCAACCATCTGTAACACTTATGATTTTATGTAGTATGGAAGGTCTTAAATACATAAAACAGTGCAAAATATATAGATGTTAATAAATTTAAATATATAAATGTAGAATGCTGTGATTTTGACATTTGCACACCATTTACATCATTAACTAAAACTGACAGTAGTTGTTTTTCGTAAAGTTCTGTAATAATAGTAATAATATAACGGCAAATCTGGCAACATTACTAGTAATATCAAAAATGGAATTTCCGTATCTCAAAATAGGTGTACCTCAAATTTGGTACAATTATTATGACTAGCAATTTACGAGATAATTGGCCGTTTCCAGACTTTTGAACCACTCTGTATATTTAAGAGCCTTTACTCTTCTTTTCATATATTAAATAGTGCGAATTAAAAAATGCACCACATATAAAGATCAAAATTAATTGGTATTAAAAAATGTATAATCTATGAAACATCACAATAGTTTCGTATATTTTTAATAAACAAAGGAGTCTCTATAGAATATCAAACCATCAAAGTTCCAAAAGAATTGTTTTCTTTCATTGTGAAAGTTATTTGTTATATACTCGTAGTACTGCAGCTAATTGACTTATTGTACATCTTCCATTGATTCAATAAACTTCAGAGTTCTGACACGCTGTATCAACTTGTATAGGTCTCGTGAATCTGTGCCATATATTTTTTAAATCATTTGATTGTCTCTAAAAAGTGCTTTCCATCTACAATTTGCTTGCAGTCATATAACAATATACCCTGTTACACTGTTGCTCATGTTGCTTAAATCTATCAAGTTATTTCCGGTATTCTCATACTAGTTTGGGGTCCTAGTGATTATCTCAGATCTCCTGAGAGTAATCATAACTACTTGACGTTAATTTAATTTTTTACGATTTAATCTTTAATGATCTTGCATAATGCAAGATTGCATAAATCTTTGCCTGTGATACACATGTATATTTTCCTAGTAGAATAAAAATGTTTACATTTCCACCACTACTGTCAATTTCTGCACTCCGTTCTTCTTCAGTTTTAAACTTCAACTGTTTGCGTACCAACTGTAACGTGTAGGCTGAGTTGTGTATTTTTTTGCCTTATCCGTCTGGTTGGCATATATCTACCTAGAAAGATACTATAGACGTGTATTTGAGTATTATTAGTCAGCAGTCTATAGAGCTGCTTTTAATGTATCCTTATCTCTTTTCTCTTCGTCAAGTGTTATCAATTCACTGCTAAATATACGTCCCTTCTCATAGCATCCTTATTGTAAGTCAAACAAGTTTATAAAGCATGCTTAGCTTAAAGATGACACCTAATTGCTGCGTAGTTGATTAACGTATTACTAATGCGTATGGCATTACTATTTTTGTCCACATGGTATTATACTCAAAAACAATATGATAACGCAGAGTGCAAGAACTATCTCTACATCAGTTGGATATACAAATTCGTAAATATACAGATGAGTGATTCAAAAAAAGTACTTACTTTTGGTTTTCAGAAGAAACTCTTTCACTAACTCGTCACAGTTAACTGCTTTTTTAAGTTTTGGATCATCTGTTTTAGGTTTTGAGCAATCCGTTTTTGAATCAATTTTCTTATCCGCCTTTTTCTCTGTGGATGTAAAATTGTATTATTTTTAATTGATAAAGGTTCTAAACATTCTAATACTATTTCATCCCTATGCCAAAATTATATTCTGACAGGTTACAAAATAGGTTTCTAATAAGCCAAAATCATCGCTCCTATCCGCTCCTTAAAATTGAGAAAATTATCCGTAAAGCCATCGGAATTAAAAAACGGCTCAACAGCTTAAACACGCGCAAAGATACTAAAAGACTGCTAGACAATATGGCGATCGCTGCTTCAGTGACCCCCGCGACAACCGATCACGCTCAGGCCGGTTCTGCGCATACCGTTCCCCGGATTATGAGGGTATAAAAGTAGCTACGCAGAGTTAGACCGATCGTCACTCGACACTGAGGAGTAGAGAGATTAAGACCTTAGTTCCGTTTAACGGTTCTGGTATTTCTGGAGAACAAGATAATGGTACGTCACGAGTAAGAGGAGTAGGCAGATTGAGACCCCGATCTCAAGCGAAACTTCCTTCCGAACGGTTCCAAAATATGTGCCGAAACATTGACTTTTAAATTCTTTACACGGTTCTTCCCGGGTACTTAATAATATTCATTTCCTGACCGCGGAAAATTTTGCGTACATCGGATGCATCTTTCCACCTTTTTCTAGGTTATCCCACAGATCTTCTTCCATGTGTTTTTTCCCAAAACACATTGTTTATAAGGCTATTTCGTCGTTATTGCGTATCACATGTCCTGCCGATCTCAGTCTATTGGCTTTTAAATATCTTAATATATTTTTCTTTCCGAAAAGACACTCTAACTCGTTATTGTGTCTACGCCTCCATTCGTTTGTATTTATATTTGCTTAATCTAAATGTTAACTTTCAGTGCAAGACATGTATTCTTGTAGATTAAAAACACAATTTAAAAAGGCTGCCAGAAAATGTAATTAAGTGTGGTCAAATTATTCTTAGTGACGATTCAAAAACAGAAGTACCAAAAACAGCAGTCTTTCTTATGAGGAGCAATCGCAAAAAAGTGGCATAATTTGAAACTTCAAAGACCACGATTTAGAAAATGTTACAATAAGAACTGTTGTTAAACAAATCAGAGTCGCGTTGGAGACTGCATCAGTTGATCGAAGACTGGACAGCGTTAGGGTGGATTGATTTAAAAAAAATCTAGCCTTTCCCAAGGTAGAAAAATCAAAAAACTGGTACAAACTGTTAAGGGTGATTATTTGTGGATTTAGTTATATACTAGCTAGAAAGTAAACACAATTCTTCTGCTGTATCTGCTTGGGTGTTTAGTATGTAGAAAAGCTGACAAACTCATACATTCTCTAAGTGTCTCAAACTTTATGGTCATGGTATTTGTCTCAAAATGAAGTCATGTTAAAAAGATACTACTAATTAGTGTATTTTTTTTAACGGACCCACCGAATTAATTTTAATCGACCAGGGAACAACAAACGGATACATACGACAGTGTTTGAAGGACAATATTGTCCCTTACACACCCTTCGTTAAATATAATTTCTTGTTTATACAGGATAATGCGCGTCCACGTACTGCACGAATCGTCATGGACTACCTAAATACTTTGGGAATTCTCGTTTTGGATTGGCCCGTTTATAGTCCTGACATTAATCCATTTATGGGACCTTCTAGGGAAACAAATTTTAAAAAACCTAACCATTGCCATAAAAGATTTAAGATCTGAAAATAGCGTTGAATAAAGAATGGGATCATAATATATCACAAGAACACACTCAGCAACTCAGCAAGTATGAAAAGGCGTATTGAAATCCACCGCAGATTTTGGGGAGGCAATACCCGACACCAAACTGTAGGCAATTGAACATATTTTTTCTTTTAATTAATTCTTTTGCGTTAATTATAACTTTCTTTTGGTTTACTTATTTTTATACGGTTATATATGAAACTGAGACATGGACTTTATCCAGCACAAGACTGAAGAAGCGCTCAGAAGGTGGAAGAGAAAAATTTATGAACCAGTTAGAAATTATGGAGTCTAGAGGTTACAGAGAAACTAGGACAAGAAAGTGGGCAAATTTTAGAGAGACGGGAAGGAAAGAACCACAAGGAAAGTGTTTTTGGTAGCCCGAGATCAAAAAGTAGGGGAAGACTTCAACCAGATGAAGGAATGGCGTGCAGGATAGCCTAAGAAGATTGAAAATCCAACGGTTGTAGCAGCGAGTAAACAACAACAGCGAAGAATAAAGAAATTTCGCAAGGCCATTCAAGGGCTGTTACAACAAGAGGTAAAATAAGTCTACGCCTTGTGTTAGTAATTGCATATTTTTACCCGTTTCAGCCGAAAAGGAGGGACCAATAAAAATAAATAAATATATCTTTATTGATAACTCACAAGCATTCGATAACGTAAACATACTATGCAAATATCCAACAATATACCAATAAAATATTCCAATAGAGTATCTACAGATTCATATACTTAATATAAATAATTTAACGAAAACACTTAAACATAAAAAAGGGACTAAGGTTAAAAACTAATTTTTATTTCCGTTATGCAAATTATATTTTCATATTATGGTATTTTATGTTACGATATACGGTTGATATTACTCAATTTTATGCTTAACATAGGAGACTTCACCACAACAAAAGGGATTTTGTAGGGTTGTTCCACATCTCTAACACTATTTAAAGTATACTTAGAGAAACTTGACTACATGGAAAAGAAAATGCGATGGCATGGGAGTACCGCTACGAAACGAATACCTATATACATTAAGCTTTGCAGACGATCAAGTAGTGATTGCACAAGACCAAGAAGACCTGAGTTACATGATAAAGACACTACAAAAAGAATATACCAAGGCTGGCCTAGATATTAACCTCGCGAAAACAGAGTACCTATCTAGAAGTGAAGAAGACATAAAAGATCTATAGATTGATGACAACGTAACAATGAAAGGAAACAATAAATTCAAATACTTGGGGTTTATAATCACGAAAAAGGCAACAACAGAGGAATAAATTAAGCTAAGATTAGGACCAACAAGAACAGCAATCCGACAACTTAACCCAGTATGTTGGGATGGACACATTGTGACATATAGGGCTGAAAATTGGAATAAAAACAAGGGTGCTACAGAGTAACAAGAATAGATAGGAGAAATAATGACAAAATAAAGCAAAGAACATCAATAGAAACATTCATACAAACATATATAGAACAAAAAAGACTAGAGTGGTATAGACATGTAAGAACCACTAGCGACAGCAGATGAATAAAGATAATAACCGAATGGAGCCCCATAGGAAGAAGGAAAAGAGGACGACTCCGAAGATCCTCGAGGAACAAAGTAGACGACGCCATTAGTAAGAAAGGCCTAAACGATGGAAAATGGGACAACAGAGAGAGATGGAGACGGTTGAGCGAGGGAAGGCAGTGAATTCTGTAGGATCCCTGAATATATATATATATATATATATATATATATATATATATATATATATATTATTGAAATTGAGCTGCTCCTAATTTCTCAAATAACCAGAAATTGTAGTTTAAAAGTTGCCAAATTAAATAAAAAAATTATGAAAACTTATGAAAAAATAATTTTTTAATTAATATTCTTAGATTGAGTAGATATCTTTACCGTAAATAGATTCCTTACGTGAACTGTGAACATTTATAATTTACTACTCTATTACAATTTAGACCTTTTAGCAAAATGTCAAAGATTAAGGGATGTATTTTTACTATTCATAATTTGAAACAAAGATGTGCATCAGTTGAAGTCTAAGCAAATCTTTTGGTTTTATATTCAAAAGTTAAATATTTAAAAAAATATTTATTTATATCCGGTGTTCAGAATGTAATAAGGTAAAACATATATAATTTTAATCACATATATTGGGTTAACCTTGTAAAGGTGCACAACAAATAGAAAAACAAAAATTATGGCAGGTTAAATCAAGAAATTTATTAGTATTTTCTTTCGTTATACTCGTAGTAACAACGACATACTAATCTTTAGTGCAAAAGAAAAGGACGTAGGAGTAACTCAAATATAAATAATAGTTACTTTTTAAAAAGTAATAAACTTACCACCTTTTGATTTACAAAGAGCGTCCTTTATTAATTGATCACAGTTTTCTTTCTTTGATTCTTTAGGTTTAATACTTTCCTTTTTAGGCTCTAAATAATCCGTTTTTACATCCATTTTCTTATCGCCTTCTAATAAAGTAAAAAAATTGATTATGTACTGAAAGAACTAGTATGTATATTCTGTATTTTTGTTAACCTGATAACTATTAGGTCGGCCACTCAGTATTAGGTACAACTGACGGGTACTCCAGAACAGTTAAACCTGCCCGGTGTACCTCTAAAACAACCTGACAATTAATAAAATACGATCAATTCTCTCTGACGAGCGAAGCGGGTCAAAAACCGCCATCCCTACAGCAGATTAGAAGCTCAGAGTGGTAACTTCATTATACTTTTAAATTACTAAATTTCAATTTTAATCACTTTAATAATGTTACCTAAAGTTAAAATTAAATTTAACTATTGATATACTGTTGGAATTACATCTTTGATCTTTTTAGTTCTTCTTCATGTTAATGTTTTTTACTTAAGTTTTTTTTACATAATTTTTATATACATGTACAATTACCACATGGTCTTTTGCTGTGCTAAGTTTGAGCAAATTGTTAACTGTATTTAGTTCAATTTATTGTTTATACACCATAATCTTATAATGTCCATTGTCGTAAGCTTCTTTACATTTTTAATCAATGACTGCTACATGTCTTTTTGAGGTAACACACTTATAATAACCTTTTCTATGGATGTTTGGTTTTTCATATTGCTCTTTTTAGATGAACTGATGATGCTTTCTGATTAGAAAGCGAAACGTTTTGAATAAATAGATGAAGTAGCCACTTTCTTTGTCTTTTTATCTCCACCTTTTGACCGAAAAACCCACCACTCTTCGAGTGATCCTTAATTTATATATATATATATATATATATATATATATATATATATATATATATATATATATATATATATGTATATATATATATTGTCATACTTCTTCTTTCCCAACCAAAGAAAAAAAAATAAAAAGATCCATCGGAATAAAATTTTAAGATATCATTATAAACAAAATGTATAGGTATAGTAATTTAAGATAAGATATAGTGTGGATAAGAATTGGTCCGTGTCCAACAAAATTATCGAAAAATCCCTTTTGTGTAGAATTAGAAGACATTTTACCCGAAAATTAATCTTGTTATTGTTTGTGTATTAAACGACCATATTATAATCTTTGGAAACAGGTGGTATAGATTGTGTATTAGCAGACTGAGGACAAAAAAATTCAATTTTATTTATTCTTTCTCTGAAACAGTAATTCGGTTTTACCATATGATACACAGAATTTTTAGAATAAACATTAATAGTAGTAAACAAAATTTGAGCTTTTTGATTGGATAGTCGTTTTTGAATGGTAATGGGGTTAGTCTGATTGGGAGACCGGGAGCGAGGCAGTTGTAATTTGGCCATCGAAGGAAGTAGTTTGTTTAAAGATAGGGTGTGTTTCGTGAGTTTGGATACCGGTATTGTGAAAAGAAGTGAATAGTTTTGCAGAAGGAGATAACAAATAGATTAGAAGAGGTCCGTGTATCTACCGTGGGCATTTTGTGAAGTATATGTGAAAGTAGTTTTACGGCATCAAGTTGACAAAAGGAGGTCCTTGTCTCATAAATAAGTAGCTGAGATTTTTGGAGAAGTGAATCAGGTGTTTTTGGGTAGTCTGTAGGAGGTTTGCAGAGACGTTAGGAAGAAGCCGAGGTGCCAAAGAGAAGAGATCACATCGTTGAGGAGGCTGGACTTTTCTGGGTATGTTCCAACATACAATTCAATAAGGAAAAAAGCTGTAAGTGTTTTGTACAATTAGAATTGGTATCTGTGAAGGATCTGTGTTGACATCATGATCATTATCATTCAAATTTAAAGAACTGAAAGGAAGTTTTGTTAGACTAATCAAAAGTTTAAAGTTTTTTTTGTTTCAAGTAAAGGAAAGTTTTAAGTAAAATTGGTTTTCACTTAATATAAATGTATGTAGATTTAAAATCTTATTATTATAAAAATTTCATTTAATTTCTTGTATGTTGATTGATAAGATAACGGCAGAATTTGATAACTGTTTTATTCTTTTTCATATAAATTAAAGAATACTTAATTTTTTGTAATATACTATTCTCGTTTATTATTATCCTTCTTCTTCTAAGGCTATTAGTAAATTAAGGTGTAAATATGTCATACATGGATTAAGTAGGTTATTGTAATCTTTCTAATACGATTAAACTATGTGAATTTTTGATTTTATGACCAATTCTTTGTAACAGTGGGTAGCTGTACATACCATCAATATTGTATTACTTCACATAGAAGTCACATTTATACATTTTTTTACTTAATATGAGAGGCCACATTTTGGTCTTCTCTTTTAATTCATAGAACTACATATAGACAGAATTCATAATCTAAGTATCAAAATAATTTTCTTTTAAGCAATACGGTTTTTATCACCTTTAGATTTTAGATGATATACATATATTAGTAAAGCTTTAAAATATTATTATGTATTGTAATTGTGTGTACCTTTATGCATTTTTGTGGTTGTTTTATTTATTAAGAAATAAAGACACATAAAAAATTGACAACAAAAAAGATTACTTTTAAAAATTGTAAGCAAAAGATTTGCAGTTTTTTGACTTGCACAAAATGATAAAGCAGTTTGCTGAAATAGAAAGCGATAAATGCATATTATTTGTGTTTTCTTTACTTAATAAGATATCCTTCGAAGACATTCTTTCAAATAGGGTTAGGACTTATGCTAATGACTAATGCTTAAACCAAATTTCTCAGAGTCTCAAAGTATCAAAATAGCACAATGAATTAAACGATGCCTTGTAAATGCAAACAAATGTTAGCACAGCCCGTAGAAATGAATTTCATGTAAACAATTATAAAAATAAAAGTAATATTTAAAATATTAACATAGTATTAAAGGAACATGCTGTACCTAAGGATGGTTGTACCCAGGGACAGGCTAAATTAAAGTCAAAGAAAATATCAGACAAACCTTATATTTACAAAACATATCGGCTACAGTGTCCCTCTCTATGGTATTAAGTTGTGCACATGTTTGTGAAGTGTTAACACAAGCTGTGACCATTTTGTAATTTTGACGTCCAAAGTAAGTATTTTTACCGGCTGTTTCGTCTTATTGCAAATTATCAATTTGACTGTAGTAAATAATCATATTAGGGTGATATTAATCGTAATTTAGACTACCTAATCCACTAATCAAACCGTTATATTTGTTGTGGCTAATGACTTATTCGACTGCTTTTATGTATACATGGAATCCCCCTGTTGTACCTAGGAACATGCATTTTGTTGTTCCTGGGACCGTCCCCAGGTACATTATTAAAAGTATTAGTACCAAACAATGTTTTGCTTCAGGAGCTCATTATGCCAAGAAGTAAAGAAAAGAAGAGAAGACCGGGACCTTTAAAAGTCAATGTAGAGAATGCTGATCGTGAAGTTTTAAATTCAAGTCTTTCAATTCATGCCGCAGCGAGCCAATTTGAAATTGCAAAGTCTGTATTAGCAAGACACATTAAAAAATTTAAAACATCAGGTCAAAACAATTTTATATACAATCCGAATTATAAAGTCAACCAAGTTTTTAATAAAGCCGAGTAAATGGAGCTGGTAAACTATTTAAAAACAGCTGCTAGAATGTATTATGGCCTAAGTTTGATAAACGTTAAAAAACTGGAACATAAATATGCAAAGCAAAATAAAAAAAATATCCTGCTTGCTGGGACGATACAAAAGAAGCAGTAAATAATTGGCTTAGAGGTTTCCAAAATAGACATTTTACATCTCGGTCACTTAGAAAACCCGAAGGTGCAAGTTTGGCCAGAGCAACTGCATTCAATAAAGAAACAATTGCTATTTTCTTTCGATCATATAAAAATGCGTTGAGTAAAGGAAACCTTGAACCATCAAACATTTTTAACGTCTATGAGACGGTATTATTACTGTGCAGCAACCTTCTAAAATTTTAGCACCAATAGGACAAAGGAAAATAGGAGAAATGACATCTGGAGAAAGAGGTGTTCTAGTTAATGTGATATGTTTTATTATCACATTGAAAGGGGCACCACCTGGAGCAATAGGAGCTGCAAATCCGAGTGGATGGTCCAATAAAGATGTATTTTTTAAATTCCTAGAACATTTCACATCACATGTTAAACCTAATTTGCATACTAAGGTTATTTTATTATTAGATAACCATGAAAGTCATGTTTCAATACGCACTATTAACTTGGTAAAACGTTCGGGAGTCATTTTAGTTACTTGTTATGCCCATACATCACACCGATTGCAACCTCTCGATTTATCTGTTTTTGGACCCTTTGAGTCTTTCTACAATAATGCAATGACTAATTGGATGAGTTCTCCTGGTAACGCAAGGAAAATAGTTACCATTTACGACGTAGCAGAGTTGGCAAATACGACATACTTCAAGGCATTTAGTTCAAACAATATAACCAAGGGCTTTTAAGTATCAGGTCTATACCCCTTAAACAGTGATATTTTTACTGAACAAGACTTTTTGTCATCTAACATAACCGATCGAGAGGATCTATATTTACACTACACTTCGTCAACACTTTCTGTTTATTCTGACCCCGATCCACCGCATTGTAATGTTTAAGGTCATCTTCCACACCAGAAGGTAAGTTGGCTTTTTAAGAACCAGTTCCTGTTATGTCAAGTTTTATTTCACCATATGAGGTTCGTCCCATTCCAAAATCTTTGCCGCGCAAAGGGAACGTTTCTAAGGGGCGCAACAAAGGAATGTCTTGTATTCTTACCGACACTCCAGATCTTAATGAAATAAAAGAGAGTAAGAAAGACAGTATGAAAAAAACAAAAAAAGTAAAACGTAAGTTAAATATTGAATAAACGTCGTCAGAGGAAGATTAAATTAATTTTGAGATTAGGAGTGACAGCAGTAATTGTAATGATAATTCTTTGTCAGATTTTGAAATTGATTTCATTCAATTTACTTTAGATGATCTTCAGAAAGGTGATTTTATTTTGGTGCACTTAAAAGGGAAGAAGCATTCAGGATATTTTGTAGCCGCTATATCAGGAAAGGTAGACGAAACAGAGTTCCACATAAAATCTTTAAAGAAAGCTTATTCCTTTGCACATGGCTATATATTTACGGTTGAAGGTGAAAAGGAATATACAACGAACATCAGTGATATTATACAAAAACTTCCTTAACCACGTACATCAGGCTCATCCTCTCGACAATCAAATAAATTTATCTTTCCAATATCTTTTGATAAAATTAATTTAGGGTAGTTTGTGTATTATTAGCAGTTCATATTTTCAATAAAATTTTCACGAATATTAGGAAGTATTTTTGTTTTACAGATTAAATTCTGGTTGTATTTGGTACTTCAACTTGTGTCGTTAGGTACAACTCTTCGTGTCCCTAGGTACAACAGACCGGTTGCTCCTAGGGACACGAACATACATACAAAAAAGTGATAAAATGAGTAGAAAATTGCCATTTTCCAATTAGCTTTACAAAGGTATGATCAACTGTTCAGATTTTATTATTTTTTATTATCTTTATTTGTGTAATTTATAAAAATCAAATTGTAAAAATTGTCCCTAGATACAATATGTTCACTTACAAAAAAAATTAGTATAGTTCTCTAGTAAAGTAGTCGTAAAGTTAGTAAAGTTTAAGTAAATTCTATAATACCCACGATTTATGGTATTAATTTGTTCTTCGGCGAAAAAGAAATAATAATACGAATGTATGTTAAATATTTGTATAAAGCATACACAAATATGCGTTATGCCCACATACTAGAATCCCTAAAAAATCTGCATATGAAGCCTCGAGAAAAGTACAGCCAACTTACCGACGAACAAATAAGAGCATATTCTGTAGTCATTAAATCGATCAATAGAAACAGATAAATTTGTATTGATAATGCTTTTGAAAGTCACCATGCAAAAAAACTACAGAATTCCAAGCCTGAATATCTAACAGAGATAGATCGCTTTACTTAGCCATAAAACCATAAAACATTAAAGAACCTATGAACCAGGAGGAATCTCTGCTGAACTTATAAGAAGTGCAACACCAACGCTTGTTAATATACTGACACAACGTTTTAATAGATACTTAAACAGAAATAATAAACCTGAAAACTGGAAAGAATGATGGATTACATCGATCTCTAAAAAAGGAAATAAGGCAAACTACAAGAAATACCGCTGTATCTCAGTTACCAGCATTCTCAGTAGATTGTACGGAACTGTTATGAAAACATGACAAAGCGATTAATACAAAAATACGAGCGAATACATGTACATAGATTAAATATGTTAATAACGATAAAATTAACTAAAAAAAGATGGAAAGGTAATTTCATCATGTTGGGTTGTCTATTCGGAGGCAAATGTGAGAAGAAATGGACGCACTGAAACAAATCGAAAAACGAGTTATAAAAGGATAAAAAATTATAGGCGCATTGAATTCATTTTTCTGGTTAAAAACTATCTTAAAACAGAAATGATACAGCTATTTAACAGTATTTTTAAAAGCGTTGTACTTTTAAAAATAGGAACGAAACGAAAACTTCTTGTTCTGGAAATGGATTTATTCTGAATGGCTTATGGATATATAAGCAGATATATCCAAAATTATGCACATAACTAATAATAGATTAAGACAAATCATGGACAGAACGCCTAAGCGAAAACAACGAAGAAACGGAATAACGAAAACAACGTGTCTTGATGCAGACCGAAAGGGAATGTAAGAGATATATTTTCGACCAAGAGACAAAATTAAAAAAAGTAAAAAATCGAAATTAACACAATTAAAAACACAAAAGAAGAACAAACAAATGTCATATATAAAATAAGACAATGATATAACAATATTACTTAGATCTGCTCAACGACCATTAGAAAAAATACAACCAGAAAGAATGTATTTTAAACTAAACACCACTGCCATTATTATATATTTAAAAACATTATTTGAATTGAAAACCAAAATAAACAATCATAAATAATGAACTACAATCAGATATTAGTAAACTAGAAATACAGAAATCACTTAGATAAATAAAAAACACTTATCGCCGCGAAAAGATGTTATTGCGATATGGGTTTTAATTCGGTTTAAAGATATTAAGAAAAGGCTCACATATCTTAACATGAAGTAAATAAACAAGCAATATACCCGGTAACTGGAAAAGAAACATCATCATCGTGCAACCCTTCTGTCCACTGCTGAACATAGATCTCTCCCATTTTTCGCCACTCGTCACCGTTTGTGCTTCTTGTTGCCATTTCTTAGATATTCGTTTAATGTCGTCCATCCAGCGTATTGGTGGTCGTCCTCTGCTGCGTTTGTCTTCTCGTGGGCGCCAGTCAGTTAGTTTTCTGGTCCATCTTTGGTCTTTCAGTCTTCCTATGTGACCTGCCCAATTTCATTTCAGCTTGGCTATACGTTGGACGACATCACTGATACCTGTTCTTTTCCTTAAGTCGTGATACCTTTTTTTGTCACGCCCAGAATTGATCTTTCCATGCACCTTTGTGCCACTCGCATTGTTCGCCTTTGTGCCACTCGCATTTTTAGTGCTGTTGTTTTTGTGAGCGTGAGAGTTTCTGCTCCGTATGTCATAATAGGAAGAGCGCATTGGTCAAATGTCTTCCGTTTCATAGCTATCGGGATGTTGCTATTGAATATGTCTCTTAGTGAACCATACGCCGAAATTAAAATTTCAAATTTCAACGAATTTCAATGACGGAAAAGAAACAATCAACGCGTTATTAATGTTCAAAAAAGAGTAAAAATTATTACAAAATAAGCAATGAAAATATAAGCGTGAGACAGATGAGATGGGTCGATGACTTAAAAAGTAATGTCACCGGTTCGAGGTAGATACACGTGGCTCAAAATAATGAGGAAGAGAGAAGGGCAGGCATATGTCGAACATTGGATGTGTCAAGGCTAATAGAAAATTTACTTTTTGTAATGTACTTACCTCCTTTAGATTTATTAAGAAATTCCTTGACTAGCTGATCACATTTTTCCACTTGTTTAGGTTGTGAACATTCCTTCTTTGATTCCACCTTCTTCTTCTTAGATGAACAATCAGCTCCTGATATAGTTATAATATATGGTTGTTTTAATCAAATAATATTTTAAGAATTCAGTCCTTTAATTTAAAAAGTGTACAATTTTAGTATTAGTTCTTACCTATATTTTCTTTCATTTCCAATTTCACTGGCTGACACATGTCAGGCCTTTTTATGTCGGAACAAATTCCTCTTTTACGTATGTCTTCTTTGGATAGATCTTTATTTGTGCAGGTTTTTATAGAATTTTCCGACTCAGTACGTTTGACATCTTTTGTTTGGCATGCATTTTTTTTCTTGGAATCTGTACATGTATTTACTTGTGCTTTACAATCTTGTTTTTTGGAACTTTTGTTTTCACATGTGGTAGGTTTTGTTTCTTTACGGTTAGCTTTTATGTTGACACAACTCCTATATTTTGGGGAAGTTTTTTTAGCGTTACTATCAGTTGGTTTAGTATCAAACTTACTTTCATTATATCTCTTATCGCACTCGCTAGGGGTACTTGTTGACTTTAACAATAAATTTGTGGCTTTCTTATTAGGGTCAAAATCTTCGGTTTCTGTTAAAATGTGTGGTTTTTTAAATGCACACAGATCATTGTGTTTGAGAATTCTTGTCTGAGGAAAAGGTTGCCGGTTTTCGCTGCAATAAGGATTTGTAGAATTATCAACTAAGTTTTTTGCTTTTTTGTTAGGGTTTAATGTTTCTGTACTATCTGACTTTTTAGTGTTTTTCTTATTACAGATATTAGTTGTACTTTTTGATTTTTTGGATGGATTTTTGGAGACCATTCCACATGTATCTTGTACTTTTACCGCCTGTATGTCTACTTTTTTATTTTTGTCTTCACACTTGTTTGATTTATTACCTAAAATGAAAGGTTTTAATATATTTGACTTACGCCCAGGTATAGAAATCATCCAAAAAAATTATTATTAAAACAGTTAAAAACTTAATTCTGTGCCTACTGAAAGTTCTAAAAGTTTTGTGCAGAGTAGACCATTAACTTTGATTTTAAACGGTGATGACTATGTAGGAGATTTAGAAGCGATCAATTTTAATAAAATATGCGCCTATATTTGCAGTAAAAACTAATAATCTTTAAATAAAACTAAAAATATCTCTATAATTTCAATTAAATTTTTTTATAAACTTTTAAGAATATTTTTATAATGGAAAACATATCTATTATAGTACGTTTAATCAATGAAATTATTTTAAATTTATTGTTTTAGAAAGACAAATATCAGTACATAATAACATAAAATATCTAGTATTTCAGTTCCTAATATTCACCGTTGCGTTGGTAAGTCCCCAGATGTTGGTAAGTAACCGTTCTCCAAATCACGTTCACCGAGAATGTCATAATATTTATTATATCAACAAGTTTTTTGAGATGGTAATCCTGATTTGATATCTGATATATTTAGTCACTGATCACGGATATCGAAGTTAGCAAGGAACGCTAGTTCTCGGTGATTTATAAATCACCGTGACTGAATCGCCGTTCTACAAATCAACCTACCTCCTATATCAGAGTATTCACAAACTCTAAACTCAAATTCGCCGAAGCACTCTCGAGCGGTATCGTGATCGAGGGGGAACGGTTAGCTTGCGAGGTCCCATGATCAGGCAACTTAGTTCCGGTTTGATCGAAATATTGCTCGAGATGCTGCAAAAGCGGACATTTCAACAGCGAATGCCCAGATAAATCATTTACTTGTCCGTTCTGCGGTCTCGGACACAGGTTCTCTGCTTGTCCCACGATATTTGCTCCCAAATGCCCAAACTGCAACGGTCCCCATCCCGTTTTCTCACCAAAATGTTTACATCGCAATACACATCCTAATAACTATAATCAAACCCAACCAGTATACACAGAGAAACAAAATCCTTCATATGACCTATCCTCCGATATGAAATTCTTAATACATTACATATCCATGATCCTATCTAACGCAATTTACGGATGTGCCATGGCCACTTCCAACTAATAAACACATAAATTCACCACATGCATAAACATCCAAACACAACACACAACAAACAGTGAGCACCACACATACTCTTTAAGATTCGAATTCAATATCACAAGGACAGGTGGATATTGGTTTTCTGTGGTTTCTCAATCTCATTGCACAATGATACCTAATCTTAGGTGAGGACACAGTCACAGCTATCCTCCACGCGTTTTACAACAAACAAAAAAAAGGCCAACAATCTGAAAGGAACCGTTTTTCCATGAAGCTTGTACTTAGTAGCGGGCTTGGACCACACGGCTTCGTTTTTTGTCAGTGGATACTGTTCTTCTGACACTCCTGCTTTAGCGGTGACACCCGATGTCTTAGGTATGTAATCAAATATGCAAATGCATCCAAAATAAAAATTATCCATTCTTGAAGAAGCATAAAGCTTAAATAGGTTATACCTGTTTAACCTTTATGCTCCTAAGGTTAAAACAGCTGTTTATTAATTCAATCGTCGTTAGTGAAATCAAGTCCCATTATTAACAGATATCTAAGGTATACTTCTTGTAACTTTTTACTGTAATGTTGTAGCATAATATTCTTTCGATTAAAATAAGATTAAGCTTGTGAATAAAAAATATTCAATGTGTTGTAACATTAAAGATGGCTTTGATATCATCTGAGAAAACAATTTCTATAGATTGGCGATTATTATTTATGGTTTAATTTGTAAATGAAAGGATTAAACACATCGTAAGAGACTTTCGTGCTATGAACTCTAGAATGTGGATCCTGAGACTTAGGGGAACATTTTTTAATTATAGAATCTTAAATGTGCATGCCCGTACAGAGAAAAAGGAAGACGATGTCAAGGAAAAATTATATGAAGAACTAGAAGCTGCATACCGTTCATGCTCAAAGAATGACATCAAAATTATTTATGGTGATCTCAACGCAAAAATAGGAAAAGAGCAACAATACCTACCAACTATAGGTAAGCACAGCCTTTATGAGATATCCAATGACAATGGCAATAGACTAATAAATCTAGCAACTTCTTCGTGGTCATTGGTTATTGCCAGCACATGCTTCCAGCGAAAAATATTCATAAAGGAACGTGGAGATCTCCAGATGGGGTCAAAGTAAACATGATCGATCATGTTATTATTGACTCTAGACATCACTCAGATGTAATAAACGTATGCAGCAGAAGATGGGCAAATGCAGAATCGGATCACTACCTAGTGGAAAGTAGAATAAGAGCGAGAATCTCAAACATTAAAAAAGAAAAGGGATCCAAAATTAAAAAATATGAAATAAAAAACTTAGCAGACCACAGCAAAAATGCAAAATACAAAGTATATATAAAAGGAAGGCTAGAAAATAGACACAAGCACGAGGATATAAACAGAGAATAGAAAGCGTGTAAAAACATCATACAAGACCCGGCCAAAGAGACTCTGGGTCTACAAAAAAGCCCAAATCAACTGAAGGACAGTGGTTCGATGAAGAGTGTAGTAATATAACAGAGAGGAAAAATAATGCATATCAACGACTATAACAACGACATAGAACACCAAAGACAGAGGAGAAATATAGAATGCTAAGGAGGGAAGAGAAGAAAATACATCGCAGAAAGAAATGAGAACACATAGAAAAGAACTCCAAGAAATGAAAGAACTAAATAAACCATCAGAAAACAGAAAATTCAACCAAAAACTTAACAAAAGTAATAAATAATTTAAATCATGAACAATAATGTGTAGAGATAGAGAAGGAGACATAGTAACTCAACAGAGTGAAATACTACAAAGATAGACAGAACTCTTCAAAGAAAAGTTTGAAAAAGATGAAGATCCACTATATGATAAAATTATACTGGATCCAAATGATACCAGAGAAACAACCCCCTCTTCAGTAGCTGAAATGCAAGAAGTAGTTACCAGACTGAAAAACAACAAGTCACCTGGATTAGACAACATTAGAGCAGAATTAATAAAGAAAGGTGGAGACTCTCTATTGAATGCGATGCACGAATGCCACAAGACTGGAATACCGGAGTAATTATCTCACTACATAAAAAGGAAGATCAGCTTTAATGCAAAAACTACCGGGCAATAACGCTACTGACTGTGGCATATAAAATACTGTCAAATATTGTGTATGACCGATTGAGACCATATGCGGAACAATTAGTTGGGGGATATCAATGTGGTTTCCGTAGGCAGAAGTCCACAATAGATCAGATCTTCGTCTTAAGGCAAATCTTGGCAAAGACTAGTGAATTTAATATAGACACACATCATCTTTTCATTAACTTTGAGAGTGCCTATGATAGCATCCATTAAGAGTTTCTGATCCATGTACTAAAAGAGTTTAATATACCAACTCAACTCATTGATATAGTAAAAGAAACTCTTAAAGTACAAAGCAAAATTATAATTCAAAGCGAACTAACAGATACAATCCATGTGAGAACGGGCCTACGACAGGGAGATGCCCTATCCTATATTCTATTCAACATCACATTTGAAAAAATAATTAGTAAGTCAAAAGTCAACACCAGAGGAACACTAATAACAAAAAGTGTACAAATATTGGCATTTGCAGATGATGTTGTGAAAGAGCGGCACAAAACAGTGGCCTAAACATTAACGAAATAAAAACCAAATACATGAAGGCCAGTAAATCGACAGGCCAAAGAAACCTCCAGAATCTGACAATACGTAATCAAACAATATCAGTGAAGAAGTTAAGAGAAGAATACATATCGCTAATAAAACATATAATGGACTAATTAAATATTTAAAATCGAACAATATAACATAAAATCACAAGAAAAACCAAATGCAAAAAAACAAGACCCTGATAAAACCGTTCCTTGTATATGAATCAGAGACGTGGACACTGTCGAAAAGCGATGAGAACCTATTAGGTACATTTGAACGAAAAATCCTTAGACACATATATAAGGGGGCAAAGGAAGATGACATATGGCTCAGAAGATATAACTTTGAACTATACACAGCATACAATGAACCCGAGATCGTAAGATCCAGAAAGATCGGGCGTCTGCGCTGGATGGGCCATGTTGAACGGATGTTGGAGACTGAAACGCCAAAATATAGAATTAGGCAAACACAGTGAGCTTTAATTAGATTTTTAAGATCGGTTTATGGGAAATTTCTTAATTTCGTTGTATATTTTAATCTATTTGACTTGTGTTTCATAGGTTGTCCACTTTCTCATTTATAGCTATACCTACAGGCGACGGTACCCAAATAAATTTATTTCAACAGTAAATCAAAAGTTATTTTTATTCTGAAGTTACTTTTATTCTTGTAAAAGTTTAATATTATGTACAAACTACTCTTAATTGCAATTAACCACAATTTCCAATTCGGAAATCATTCTCAAAATATAAAATTACCAAAAGTTATATTTGCATTTATATAGTATATATTTGACTGTATATATTGTATATATATTATAATAATTATCTTCTTTGCCTACCCAATTTGCATTTGGTTTAAAATAAAAAAGTAAGAAATGGTCCGAGCAACCATCCACACCTCTCGTACTCTCGTAGTTCGAAAATTTTTGACAAACAACATTTTGGTAGTGTTTTCTATGAAAAAGAATATGATTAATTTGGTTTTTTTAATTCATCTGAAATTATTATATCATTAGAATAAATCCAGAAAGAACAGAAAAGTACTACAATGAAAATTAAGAAAAAAAAAATAAAGAAAACTAAAAAAGAAAGAAAAAAACGTTAGAAGCAGACATCAATCTAAACCTGTGAAACAAATTTAAAGTATAAACTGAAACAAAAATATCTTACAATTTTTAGCCACTTCCTGTTTTTTGTTCTCTTTTTGGTTTTTGCATTTTGATTCTTTCGGTACCTCCTCTTTTTTCTTTTTTCTTTCTTCTATACATTTTTCTCTACAACTAATTTTTTTTGTTTCTTTTGACTCTTTAGTCTTAATAGTCGGACATGGATTACACAAGACTTCTTTGGGTTTCTCGTAGTTTGATACTTTCGTTTTAGATGAAGAACAATTTAGCGATTTTTTTAATTCATTACAACTGGACGATTTTTTAACTTCTTCCTTTTTTGTTCCAGTACACATACTTCGGTTTTGTTCTTTTTTTGTCTCCTTATTGTTACATTTTGGTTCCTGATTAGTTTTGGGTTTATCCTTGGTCGTACTACAGTTCTTAGAGGAATTCGAATTTGATGAACTAGCTAATGTAGGTTCCTGAATAAAAAGAAATAACTATAATAAACAAACATAAAAATAACAGGTAATATAGAAAGTATGGAAAATAACCATTAAAAAATGTGGTTGATAAAAGCATGAAAAGAACAGTAAACAAATATACACTTTTTCGTTATATCTAACATATAAAGAAAAACTAATACACTAAACGTATAAATACGTAAAATAAATTTGTCATCTTCTGAAATCCAGAGTTACCAAAATTTCAGTCTTTGTTTTACACGTGCAATATATATCCGTGTCATACTATCTTCATAGATTTCACATCATGATTCTATATACAACTTAAAGTTGCAATGCCTGCGCCACAATCCTTGCTTTATTACTACTCCATAAACTATAATTTTTTAGTCTCGAAACGCTTAACCATTTCGTGGTCATTATATGTAAGAGTCTCCGTTTCTGCTCCATATGATCTTATTAGCATTTTACAAATGCTCAATTCAAATTTTTGGCTTAGTTCGTTTGTCTTCTGGGGTCGTAGTAAAATTTCTGGAAACTATTCTTCTTTTAATTTCCTTGCTAACATTGTTATTTCCAGTCAGTTCCAAGGATGGAAAGGATGCAAAAAACAAAAAACTTACAGAAAATAAAACACAAGAAAAAGGTATTACAAAAAGTTAGTGTATGAGGGTCAAAGATAAATTAAACTTAAAAACATGTGGTTAATAAATTAAGTGCTAAAATAATATAAAAGATGGTGTTGAAAGGTATAAAGATGGTATAAAAGGCTCAGCAGATTAGAAAATAACAAAATAAAGGAAAATGCTTCTCTTGTAGTTCTAGTTATGATATCGATATCTTCTGCTACACTTCTGCTGCAATGCTCAAAATAAACTTTTTTAACACATTGATTATTAGCTTAGTTATTAAATTATTTTATTTAGTTTATTAGTTAATTTAGTATTGATTTATCGGTTTTCTATTGGTTGTCTCTAGATTAACGTTAAATAGTGTAGATGATCGCTGGCGTAATCTTTTTTAAAAATAGTTTTTGTTTTTTTGGTTTTTTATTTTAAACATTACTATAAACTTTCAGTTTTTTTAATCCAAGTGATAAGTTTCGCTGATATAATGAAATCTTTTATAAGTTCCAATTTATTTTCTATTAATGTATTTAACGTATAGTCAGTGTTGAGGTGATGTATATATCTGCGAGTTTTTTCTAAAACCTGTTTTAGTTTAAATATCTGATTTATGATCAACTTTTGCTTGCAGAAATTCAATTAAAAAATAAAAAAAATATATGTTGCCAACTGGAAAATCCAAGCAAGGGATAGTGCAGAATGGCTCAGGAAGCTTGAAAAGGACAAGGCCCTTGACCTCAAGATCTGTAGCACCATGATCATCATTATTGTATAAAAATATGTATAAATATGTATGAATCATGAGTATAAAAATATTGTGTGAAACAAATAATGAATAAAGGAAAAAAATTACAATTTGACGTGAGAATATGTTAAAAGAATAGTTAGAACAAAAATAATCAGCAATAAAACAAAAAATATTCAATTAAAAAAGGATTCCAGAGAAGTTAAGGAATCAATGACAATAGAAGCGAAAAATAAGAAAAATAATTTAAAAAATAGATATAAAAAAGAGATATAAATACATTCACACAGGAATAAAGAGGAGCGTATAAAAAAATTTTTGCAAAATAAAAAAACGAGATCAGAAATGAAGAATGGTACAAAAAAGCTATTTTATAAAAAGTGTAAAATTGTAAAAGAAAAAGAATACGATAATCTGATTAAATAAAATATGAGAAATAAATAAATGTAAGAGTTACACAAGTAGCGAAAATTAGAGAGATTTAAGGCTCTACGAAACGGGACAAGAAAAATATTACAAAGAAAAATAAGAAAAATAACGAGATAAGGAAGAAAATATAGAGGACAATAAAAAACTAAAAATAAATACAATAAAATACACTATTTAAAACCTACCTTTGAAGAACTCCGGGAATTTTTACAAACTTGCTGTATGGAACGATAGGGACCATTTGAATATTCATCAGTTCTTGAATCGTTACAAAGTTGATGTTTGGAACGATAGGGACCCTCTGCATTTTCGATACCAATGTCTGATTGATTGGTACATGTTATTTTTGCCCGATTCATAGCACTTTTAGTACATGTACTTGGTGGAGGATCTGGTATTTCTATTTTATTAGATGCCTCTTTCTTTGCAGTGATTGTGGGAACGGTTTTGCATGCGTCTATTACGTTTTGAATATCTTTTTTATCAGAATTTTGCTTTAGCTTACCAACACTTTTTGTACAAGTACTTGATGGGGGATCCGGTATTTCTATTTTCATAGCTGACTCTTTCGTTACAGTGGCTGTGGGAACGGTTTTGCATGTGCCGGTTATACCTAGAATATCTTTCTTATCAGAATATTGCTTTACCTGGTCACCAACGGTTTTTGCACAAGTACTTGATGGGGGATCTGGTATTTCTATTTTAATAGGTGACTCTTTTCTTACAGTACTTTCGGTTACAGTTTTACATGTGTCCATTACATTAAGAACATCATTCTTATTCGAATCTTGCTTTACCTGACCAACAACACTTTTGCTACAAGTACTTGATGGAGGATCTGGTATTTCTATTTTAATAGTTGGTTCTTTTGTTTTAGTACCCTCTGGAATAGTTTTGCACGTACCTAGTATACTTACAATATTTTTTTGATCGGAATCTTGTTTTATTTGACCAACAACATTGTTGGTGCAAGTACTTGATGGAGGATCTGGTATTTGTATTTGACTAGTTAGGCCTTCTATTTCAGAAGTTTTCCGAATACTTTTACATGTATCATTTATCTGGCTGACGACACTTTTGGTACAGGTACTTGGTGGAGGATCTGGTATATCTATTTTATAAGTAGATTTTTTGGTTCCAGTGCTTTTGGAAATAGTCTTGCATGTGTCTAATATATTTAGAATATCTTTTTTATTTGTCTCTTGTGTAATTTGGCCAATGACATTTTTGCTACAAGTACTTGATGGGGGATCTGGTATTTCTATTTTTACAGTTAGCTCTTTTGTTCCAGTAACTTTGAAATCACTTTTACATGCGTCTTTCATCTGGCTTATAACACTTTTAGTACAAGTACTTGATGGGGGATCTGGTATTTCTATTTTAATAGCGGGTTTTGTTTCAGTGCTTTTGGGAATGGTTTTACATGTGTCCAGTATATTTAGAATATCTTTATTATTTGACTGTTGTTTCGTTTGGCCAATGACACTTTTGCTACAAGTACTTGATGGGGGATCTGGTATTTCTATTTTTACAGTTAGCTCTTTTGTTCCAGTAACTTTGAAATCACTTTTACATGCATCTTTCATCTGGCTTACTACACTTTTAGTACAAGTACTTGATGGAGGATCTGGTATTTCTATTTTAATAGTGGCTTTTGTTGCAGTGCTTTTGGGAATAGTTTTACATGTGTCTAGTATATTTAGAATATCTTTATTATTTGACTGTTGTTTCGTTTGGCCAATGACACTGTTAGTGCAAGTACTTTTTGGGGGATCTGGAATTTCAATTTTACTGGTTAGTTCTTTTGTTTCAGCTGGTTTAGGCACGCTTTTACATACATCTGTTAGAATGTCGTTCTTTATTTGTGCAACGACATTTTTAGTACAAGTACTTGGAGGAGGATCTGGTATTTGTATTTTAATGTTGTGTTCCTTTATTTCGGTACTTTTGGGAATAGTTTTACATGTGTCTAGTATATTTAGAATATCTTTATTATTTGACTGTTGTTTCGTTTGGCCAATGACACTGTTAGTGCAAGTACTTTTTGGGGGATCTGGAATTTCAATTTTACTGGTTAGTTCTTTTGTTTCAGCTGGTTTAGGCACGCTTTTACATACATCTGTTAGAATGTCGTTCTTTATTTGTGCAACAGCATTTTTAGTACAAGTACTTGAAGGAGGATCTGGTATTTGTATTTTAATGTTGTGTTCCTTTATTTCGGTACTTTTGGGAATAGTTTTACATGTGTCTAGTATATTTAGAATATCTTTATTATTTGACTGTTGTTTCATTTGACCAATGACACTTTTGGCGCAAGTACTTATTGGAGGATCCGGTATTTCTATTTTGCTAGTCAGTTCGTTTGTTTCAGTTGTTTGGAAAACATTTTTACATTTATCTAGTAGAACATCTTGTTTAATCTGACCAACGACACTTTTGGTACAAGTACTTGACGGGGGATCTGGTATTTCTATTTTAGTAGTTGCTTTTTTTATTTCAGTGGGTTTGGAAATACTGTTGCAAGTGTCTAGTATATTTTGAATATCTTTTTTACTGAAGTCCTGCTGTGTTTGGCCAGTGGAGTTTTTGGTGCAAGTACTTTTACAAAAGTTTTGGCAATCATCTAGAAGATTTAAAATGTTTTTTTCATGGGAATCTTGGTTTGCCTGGGTAACATTTTTGGTACAAGTGCTTAATGGAGGATCGGGTATTTTTATTTTGAGAGTTGTGTCCTTTACTTCTGAGCTTTTGGAAGTATTTGTACATGTCTCCCCTGCAAGATTGAAATTAGAAATTTCTCTGTTTGGGGCATTTGGAATACCTTTGTCAATCATTACGTTATTAGTACAAGCACTAAACGAAAGAGTCGGTGTTTCTTCTTTTTTCTTTGATGTGCTATTTTGACAATTATTATTCTCCTTTTCAAAAGACCTATTTTCTATAATTCTGCAGACAACCAAAGGACTTCTTTGCTCGATATGTTCCATTTTGGGTAGATCTGGTTCCGTTGCACTAATATTGTTAGGATTGCAATAAACTATTCGGGAAGACTTAGTATTTTCTATTTGATCTGTGGCTAAGTTCCATGGATATTTTACTTTACAAGATGTGGATTTCTCTTTATTCGAAGTGTTAGTAGAGTAGCTGAGATCTAAAAAAGATATGAAAAATGTAGTATCGATATTATATATATATATATATATATATATATATATATATATATATAATCTGAATATATTGGGTTACTCAACAAACTCTTTAAGGTCTGTTGAGCTTTCGAGTTTATTTAACTCATATTCAAAACATACTAAGAATTAAAATAAAAAACTACATTAGAACAATGGAGTTATTGTATCTTTAACAGGCTTACCCTTGTGAGAATTGTATTATAAAAATTAGCAAAATTCAATCCTCACAAGCGTAAGCCTGTTAAAGATATAACAACTCAATTGTTCTAATGTAGTTTTTTATTTTAATTTTTAGTATGTTTTGAAAAAGAGTTAAATAAACTCGAAAGCTCAACAAGCCTTAAAGAGTTTTATAAGTAAAAAGTAATGGCATGTCTCGCAAAACAAAAAAAAAACCAAAAATGGTATATCGATGGAAGGCAACCGTATATACGTATTTCTGACTATTGGTCGTCTTCAGTACAGTGCACCCAAGTTAGAAAAGGAGAATATTAACTTGGGACAGGATCACTACAGAAGCAATGCAACCAATTTGTGGCATCAGAGTTAGAAGACCCTGATGGTTTCCAGGGCAACAACCAACACTAACCACGGAGGAAGCTACAACTACCTGGGGAAAGGAATGCCAAACGTTAAAACGTTTAAAACAAATGGAAAAAGTGTCTTCCAACTCTAATGCCACAAATTGGTTGCATTGCTCCTGTAGTGATCCTGTCCAAAGTTATAATGCTTCTTTTCTAACTTGGCTGCACCTTACTGAAGACGACCAATAGTCAGAAATACGTATATACGGTTGCCCTCCATCGATATACCATTTTTGGTTTTTTGTTTTGCGGGACATGCCATTACCATTTACTTTTATTATTTACTCGCATTATCCTTTTCCATATATATATATATATATATATATATATATATATATATATATATGTGTGTGGTTTATAATATCACCAAATCGGTCATTAGAAAATAAAACTCTATTTGTTTTAGGTCAGGTCTTAATAGTTCGTCACGGTTTTGTGACTTCTTTAAATTCATTAGAATTATTGGATGTTAGTGAATATTTCATTACCTACAACTAATAGTAGAAATTTCAATTTCTACAACATATATGAATGACACTTAATATTTGTTATATATTTCGATGTTATGGTAACTACTGTAATACATTTTTATATAGTGTAGTCTAATATTGAACAATTTTTATTGAATAAATTAAAGTAAACAAGGGACAGTATTATCGATATTGTAAGGTGGAAAGATGCAATTAATATTAAAGGAATGAGAAAGGATCAGGGGTATGTTAAATTGATCTATAAAATGTAATTGATGGTACGTAGTGAGTTATTTTAATATGCAGAAATGGAATAAAATTGTAGGTAGAGTAAAATATTAAGTAAGTAATGTGTTTGTTTTTTAAGGTAAGGATCTCTTAATAAATGAATTAACACATTACTCACTTAATCTTTCAGTTAATCTACCTATAATTTTAATCCATTTCTGAATATCAGTCTTACAATAACTGACTACGTACCATCAATTATATTTTGTAGATCAATTTAACATGCTCTTAATCTTTTCTAATTCCTGTAATATTATTTTAAATGTTTCACTTTACAATACCGACAATACTGTCTCTTTTTTACTTCAATTTATTCACTAAAAATTGTTCACTATCAGACTTCACTCCATAAAAATATAATGTTAGTTGTCAGATAATAAGTATATATGAAGATTAACTTATCATATACCTACTCGACAATTAATATTCATACTAATTTTAAACTAAAAATTATGTCTGGTTTTTGTTCTGTTAACTTTGATGGACCGAAGGCAGCATGCGGCTCGTATTTGGTTTTGGCTCAAATTTTAAACTTTTTAAACTTAAATAATAAATATAAAAAGAGGAGTTAAACAAGGATGTATACTATCGCCTATCGCCTTTACTCTTTAACTTGTATTATATACATACCTATATATAATATTCAAGGAAGCCCTAATGGAGACAACAGAAGGTATTATTGTTAATGAAGTAACTGTAAACAATATTAGATACGCCAATGAGTTGAATGGCAAAAAAGGATATAATTAATAATGAATATATTAGAAGAGGATTAACTTTTTAAATGTTTTAAATATACTATATAAATATATAACACTGAAGTGATTCCCGTAGAGTGGTTCAGGTTCGTCTTTGTGTTAAAAACACAATGCTAAAAAATGCTCAAAATATCGATTACATAACCTAATGAGATATAGTCTTAGGATTTTAATAAGAATACTCCACAATATTATTGTGAATGCAATTCATATATCAATTCAATAATATTGAATTAGATGTAAATGCAAAGAAGATCTCGAAGGTCCCCAATTTGGTTTTAGAAACACTTTGGGAACTAAAGAGGTACTTTTTACTTTAAATATCTTATTAAAAAAATGCTGTGAGCAAATAAAAACTGTATTTGCATGTTTCGTGGACTTCTAAATGGAATTTGATAAAATTCGGGAACTACTTAATGTCATTAGATACGCGGACGATACACTAGTTCTGTCAGAAAATATTAAAGGTATCTAATTCTACTTAATCGTATTCACGAAGTAGGCGAGGAAATAGGCATTAAAATAAACTCAAACAAAACCACATTTTTGTCTTTAGTCGCAACTCACATCCAAAAGCAGTGCTTTAATTAAATGGAGTCCAAGTTGAAAAAGTTCACAACATTACATATTTGGGAACTGTCATATCGGACCAATCAGATTCAGACATCGAAAGGAAATTCAGAATAGCAATGACTAAAACTACTTTTATTAAAATTGTTCTAAAGCTATTAACTACTCATATAAAAATAAAGACATTTCTTTGCAGTAATCATCTCAGTTTAGAACTAAAGCAAAGAATGGTCAAGTGCTATATTTGATCTGTACTTTGGTATAGAGCAGAGGTGGAGACAACAAGAAAAATTAATAAGGAAGTACGAATGTGGGTCAACAAAGATAGAGAATTGCTAAAGACTATTAAAAACTACCGTAAAATGTTTTATCTGGGACATATAGTAAAAAAAATCCACAAGAAAAACAATTCCTGTAGCTGGCTGTATACCATATTGTAATAATACCTGGCTGTAATATTTAACATCACATTTTAATGACAACAATATGTACAATCTTTAATAACTACATGTAATTTAAAGGGTTTTTACCCTAGTATTTTGGTGGCTCAGGCATTTTATCCTAGCAGTTTTAAACCTGATGATGGACTGTTTAGTCCGAAAAAGTTTGTTTTTTTTTATGTAGCCCTTTAAAGGGGTTTTTAAATAAATATACCCATTTACGAAGACTAACCTCTTTTTTTATATAGTAAAAAGAAATCGATATAGAATACTATAACTGATCCTTAAAGGCAAAATAGAAGGCCATAGAGGTGTAGAAAGAAAACAGGAGTTGTAGGAAGGTTTTTGGCTAAAAAAATTCGTGAATCAAGTTAGATATGAAATGCAGGATAATTATTCCATATGGTAAAATATTGAGAAGCCTTCGCAATGCTGATCGCCATGATACGTGAATGATAATACGTGAATGTGAGAACATGATACGTGAATAAAAAGAAGACGTTAGGGGAATTCTAGGGATGACATCAATTGATGCTAAAATGAGAGAACATAGGTTAAGATAGTTATCGCACTTGTACGTCGAGAAGTTAATCACCAATACATAGAATTTCTGATTTTCTAGTTATTGGGAGGAGTAGGAGAAAAATATTAATGAAAACCTGGTGAGGTATGCTTAGGCAGGACATGTCTGAGAAGGGGATTAATATTAGTGTGACCTAAGATAGAAACTTGTGCAGAAATATAATTAGATGAGCCGATCCCAGATAAAAATAAAGACACATTGTTTAAGATGTTTGTTCCACGAAATATTCATAGTAATTTTAAAATATTACTTAAAGTAGTATGTCTTTCTAGAGCTGTGTTGGAACTATCAAAATTTGAATAATCCTTATAATAGCGATGATGATCAAAGTGATGTAACGGCAATAATCATTTGATAAAGATAATTATTTGATAAAGATAATAAACTAATGATTTTAGTTAGCTTCACAGTTTGAGAGTCTCACAATTTGACTTTGGATGTTAACTTTTCTAGTCTAATAAAATATATTATTTGCTTAATAAATTTATTTTATTATGATATCATAAGAAGACAAATAACGTATATAAAGAGTGTAAATTTGATTGTTCAGTAAATTAATAAAGAAAAAAATGGTTAGTAAATTTATTTTTCTTTTAATTCTTATTATTTATTACTTGGTAACTTATATCCACAACAATCAGTAACTTAAAAGTTTAGTAATTTATAACGAACATCAAAATGGTTGTAGATTGCATGTAGGCTGGAATGGTCCACAAAAGATAAAATGTACAGTCAAAAGTACCACAGGTACATTCCTCAAGCTAAAGAAGGAACTTATTGTGTAGTTGAGATCTAAGTTTATAAATTAAGGAGAATTATGTTATTTATTTCGTTTAAATGTAGGCGTTGAATCGTGGATGCAACTGAGAAAGATTATATATTTGAAATGTACAATTGTGAAAATCTCGTAAACTGATCGAATTACCAACGAGGACATTCTTCAGATAAATGAATGTAAAATGGCAAAATCTGTTTTCTGCTTCTTTACGTGCCATATCAGAATTATCCGACGTTAGCGATCACCATTACCATCACCATTGCGAAGGCTGCCACATGGAATAATTATTCTCCGTTTGATTTCTGAGTCCATTCACGAATATTTTTTAACTAACAAACCTGTTTGCTTCCTACACCTCTACGGATTTCTATTTTGCCGATCAGTTGTTGTATTTTATGCCAATTTCTCCTTACTAAACAAAATCTGTCTATCTTGAGTATATTATAATGAACGAAGAAAAATGTAAATTTTTCCAAGTTATTATCCAAGAAA